GGGAATCATGACGGAAACTCGTGATGTCCTCGTCGCCATGAAGACAGGGGGCGGCAAAAGCATGATGTGGATGGTTCCCTCAATCCTCGACGAGAATTGCGAAATCCATCGTCGTCTGCCCATTCGTGGCATTGCTAGAAGAACAGTACAAGAAGACGGTTGCTGGTGGCTTGCGATGCCACAATTACTCTCAATCCAAGGAAGTACCGGACGACGTTCAGGTCCTTTTCATTAGGTGGAGCATTGCTCGTCTACTGTTTTTGCTAAGTAAGAGGGGCATATCTCACCTGCCCAAAGTTCAGTGATTGATTGATTGATACTCTACAGTCTCCTCGTGTCCCCCCTTGGGAATAAATTCACCAGGGCCTTCGTAGACGAATTTCATGATAATGTCAACTGCCATCCGGAACGAATAAAGGCATGGGGGGTTCTTGCCAGGCAATTCAGCGCCATGAGGATACTGATCTGCCTCCTGTCCGCTACTGCCCCCTCCCCATCGGTTGTCGAGCTTCATCAAACCATTCGGTATGAAGGTGGACAACCTCGCCCAGTTCAGGTCTTCAACAAACCGTCCAGAAATTGGAATGCACGTCGTTCCAGTCCAGCCTATTATAGCACAGCAATCATTAGGTCGTCTGGTTTGTGCACTCAACGGACTCTTGGATGATGACGAACGTATCTTGGTATTCTTTTGCTCGCAAGTCGAGGCGGAGACCTTTGCAGTCCTGCACAAATGTGCAGTCTATCACAGCAACCTCTGGGCGAACGGAAATACCAAGGCCTACAACCTCGACCTCTGGGACAGAGGAGAATCAAAGGTGATGGCATGCACCACGGCTTTCGCACAGGGTATAGACAGATCCAAAGTTCGATTCGTGGTTATCTTCAAACCGGCATATGGGCTTGTAGTGAACAACCAAATGCTGGGTCGCGCAGGTCGTGATGGAAGGGAGTCCCATGTGTTTTTTGTCAGCGACGTTACTGGCATAGCATCCTTCAAAGGGTCCAAGAGGAATCAGGACGAATGCCTGCTGGAGTTGGACCGAGTGGTCCATGGTCCGGAGTGTCGCCGATACACCAATACGGTCTGCATGGATGGCGTCGATCTTGCAACTCGTTGCAATCAAGAACCTCGTGGCGTCCCTTGCGACATTTGCGATCCAGATAGCCCGATGCAGCAGTTCGCCATACAAGCCCTGTCGCAAGAACAAACATCCATCTCACACACTCCAGCTGTGCAGGCCCCACCTCCTGCATTTGTGCCAGCAAGCAGATTAGCACAAACCATGGAGAACGCCCCTGTGAGTTTTTCCCCATCCCATGATATCTCGTCGTATTGAGGCCATGTCACAGGAGGACGCTGAACCGGCCCAACCACTGTCGCAGGACAGCGATGCCCTGTATGGCATGGACTCACAGATAACCTCGTCTCAAGCTCTCGTGCTTGACGCCATTGAGGTCATTCACAAGCCCGTCAGTCAAATCCTCGATCCACACTCTGCTGATGCTGACCATTTATTTTACCTCGTACAGCGCGACAACATGAAAAACATCTTCATGGTATGCATTCCCCATCTTTTTCTTTTGTCCAACATTACTCACAGCATTTAAAGTCCTGCTCGCAGCCTTCTGCGTCATCCTCTTCAAGACTCCAGCTGCCACCCCCCTCATCACTTCCCAGTGATTCCCGTACCTTTGCATCCAGGGCGGAACAGGTAAATCAAGCAGCCATGAGTCGTCTGGCACGAACCTCCCGCCTGAACAGATATATGGAGGCATTGAGAGATCACTGCCCCTTTCACTTTGGAAGAAGAGGACTCCGAGTCTTAGAAGCCAGCCATGCTGCCTGCGAGGAAATGAGCGAAGTGCCCATGTCGGAGTACTACCAGTTCAAACGAGCATTCTCATTTGCTCCCTTCACTTATTGCTTTCAGTGCTGCTTACCCCAGTCAAGAAACCACAACGGCGAGGAACCAGCTTGTCATGCTGGGTTGCTCTACAAGAAAGGGGTGACTTGCCCATTCTCTGGATTCATCTTCAAGACCGTCTTCTGTTTCTGGTCCAGAGAGGAGTTCAGACGTCACTTGATTCAGGATGTCAGCCAAGGGGCCCAGCTCTCGACATTGACCGACTTCATTGCATGGGCAGTCCAAGAACATGCTGAAGAAGGTAAATACAATAATTGTGTCGAGGCTTTCCTCTGGTTCTGCAGCGAGGTGGAGAAAGCAAAGCCTGACTTTTTCATGTGATGGATGAATTTCTGCGGACGAGGCGAGTCTCCCATTTTTAATTCGAAGAATCCTATGTCTCATCCGAGTGTACCACAATTATTTCTAGGCAAGAAGAACCGGCATTCAATCATACCCTGCATAGTAGTTAGTTCCGTCGTCTCATGCACATAATCTCACATGTACAACAATATGTCTACAAAGTCAGTACAATGATTCTGGTCGTCTTCCTCTGCCTGTCTTGCAAATCAAGGAATTATGACAAAGGGAGGGGAAAGACTATTGGGATACAGAGGGAAGATCCAACAAGTTGCCTGCGTCGTGAAAGCTGGAACATTATTTCAATTTGAACTCAAGAAACCAGATATCTGGAGATCACATCAATTCCGCTTGGTTCTTGTGGTCTCAGGTCCCCATACCAGATAGATCATCGAAGATAGGTGAAGACGAGTCTAAATAAGTGCAGGTGAGCTAAGATAAACTCAGAGAAGTTCTTGAAAGTGCAGGTGGGTACAAACAAGCCAAGGGAGGGGAAAGGAAGTTCAGGCAAGTCCAGAGAAGAGAGGTAAACTCAGGAGATCAGCATGAACAAGTGAAAAGGAGTCTAGACAAGTATAAATCAGCACAGGCGAGCCCAGATCAATGCGGAGGGGTTCATAAAAGCAAAATTAAGTACGAGAGAGTCCAAATGAGTCAAAGAGAGGGAAAACGAGTTCAGGAAAGTCCAGAGGAGTGAATTCAAAATGGGAAGATCAGCATGGACAAGCAAATACAAGTCCAGAAGAGTCAAAGTGAGTTCGAGTGAGCCCAGAGGAATGTGAAGAGGCTCATATAAGCGAAAATAAGTGTGGGCGAGTCTGAAGGAGTGAAGGAGAGGGGGGACGAGTTCAGCGAAGTTTAAAAAAGCGAAAACAAGCTCCGTGGATCAGCCAAGACGGGTGAAGACGAGTGTAAACGAGTACAGATGAACCCAGAAAAATGTAGAGAACTTCATGAAAGTGAACATGAATACAGGCGAGTTCAAACAAGGAGAGGAGAGGAGAAAAATGAGGGTCAGGAAAGTCCGAAGGAGAGAAAACAAGTAACAAGCCAAGGAGATCTCAGATCATTGTCGGCAAGTACAGTGGATACGACCATATTCTGTTCAAGACAGAGGGACACTCACAGATAGTCATCCCCACAGGGAAGTGGATGCAAAAATAGCGGAGTGGCAGGGACGTCCCTGCTTTGGGGGGTGGTTTCAAAAATAGAGCAGCAGGGACGTCCCTGCTGGGGGGGTGGGTTCAAAAATAGAGGAGCAGGGACGTCCCTGCCAGTGAGTGGATGGGAAAAAAGAGAAGCAGGGACGGAGGAATTGTTACATACGCCCGTCCCTGCTGGAAAACACAGAGGAGCAGGGACGTCCCTGCTGGGGGAGTGGGTGGGAAAATTACGTCAGCAGGGACGTCCCTGCCGCGAGGCGGATGGGAAAAAAAGGAAGCAGGGACGGAGGGACTGTGACGTAAGGTCGGGACGAGTCGAAACATCGAAAATGGCAGATGGGAAAGAGAAGCAGGGACTGTGAGGTAACGGCTAACCATAAGAGGAAGGAGCAGGGACGGGGACTACTGGGGGGGCGCGGCGGGGGAAACATATAGATAGGGCACATATAGGGGGTAACTACTTGAGACGAAAGGTTAAGGAAGGAAAGTATCACATGTTATATTATGTAAGCGGACAATGCGTCATTGCGTCAAGACACTGATGCGGAGGACTCTATGATAGTGCGCGTGAAACCAGGACCCTCTCTTTGCAAAGCCTCCTCAACAGAGAAGACTTCTACATCCTCCAAGCTCAGTACTATCATATACATAATGAAATAGTTATATTGTACTGTAAGAATAACTAAAGTACCAATAATCAGGATTGAGCGGCTGAAGAGGGAGGGCTTAGTTAAGTACGGATAAGGGACTGAAGTGACTTACCAGGCAGCTGGTCTAAAAGCTTCAGGTTCATATAGTGTACGAGGAGTTCGTGAATGTTAGGAAGCGCTTCGGGATGAGGTTCATACTGTCCAAGCCACTTGTGGTAAGCATCGCGGTTTAAAAACTTCCTGCTGTTTATGCCCATCGCCCGGCAGACGGCCTTGAAGATGGGCTTGTCGTCGTAAATGACGTACGCAAGTGGGCGAAGTTGGTCATCGTAGAGACAGGAGAATTTGCTTTTGGGGTTGGGCTGCGCCTGATTCTGGTGGACGGGATCAGGAGCGAGGCAGCCATAACAGAATCCATTGGAAGTGAAACGTAGTTGTTGTCTGTACTGCTTATACCCCTGAGTTTTGAGGATGCCTCGATGGCACGAGTAGGGGAAATGTCTGCCAAAGTCGGAGAAGAACAGACAGATCGAACACTTGCCGACGTTCATCTGACACCATCGACCGATGTGCTGCTCCTTGCCAGATCGGGTGGTGGGATAACCCTCTCCCAAGAGCGGTTCATGCACGAACGGATCCTCAGGAGTGGAGTTGGAGGGTGGCTGAGGAACTTGAGTATGATGGGATCCAGAACGAATGGGGCCCTGAGCCCGCGGGGCGACGTATGCAGGTTGTGGGGGTGGACGATCGTGTGTTGTCAAGTGAACACGTTTGGCGGGAGCTGGTTGGTTGGCGCGTGAACCATAGGGGATATAATGCGTGGCTTTGGGGGCGGGGGATGCATCGGAATCATGAGAGGATGTTGTTTCCTCGATGTCGTTGCTCATTTGAGGGAGGCGCACGTCACCAGCCTGTCTGAACGGCGTTGGTGAAGTCTGACGGTGAGATGTACTTGCGGTATGGCGACTAATGGGAGTAGGGAGCCCATGAACTCTCGGGCCCGCTGCCTGGGTGAGAGTATGGGCTGGAGTGAGAGCTTGAGGAGGTGCAAGAGATTTCAGGCGAGAGCCAGACGGGCTACTGTAAAATTGCTGATGGTGTCTGACCACATGCTACAAAGTTAGTGAGTATGAGGACTTGAGAGATGGACGGGAGGAGCCTTACCGCATGTGATTGACAAACGTCACAGAGCTCAGTTGAAAGCATGGACAAGCAGGTCTGATCTATGCCATCCAAAAAAAGCGAAATGGACCTGCGACGGCAGGTTTGGTGGGATACCAAATCAACCATTGATTGGAGGCCAGCGTGATCTTCTGAAGGATTGATGTCGACTGAGGGTATGTTGCTGTAGAGGAGGTGATGGACGCTGGGCTTTCCGTCACGCCCAGCCCGGCCCGACATTTGAGCAAAATGAATCATCGATAGGATCTTGTCTTCCTTGTTGCCCTGTTGATCGGTACTGACCCAGGAGATTTCGCGATTGACGATAATCCGAACGGAGTGAACGTCGATTCCTTGAGCCATCGCCAAGGTTCCTACAATCCATGCTGACTTGCCCGTTCTCCACGTCATCATGGCGGACTTGCGCTGCTCGTCACTGAGTTGGCCGTGATAGCACGGGAATCCCGTTGTCTCTGCCAGCTGCTCACAGCAATTGGTAGTCAGTACGAAGATGATGCCGCGCTCGTGGGGTTGGAGCTTAAACGATAGCGCCAACGAGACGACGTCGTCGTCGATTGTTTCCTTCGTAGTACGGCGAACACGGTATTGAATTTCCGGGCGGTGGGTGGGCATGCGAATTTTACGCACGTGGGACGGCTCCATACGCAACATCTGGCGAACCTGCTTAGTATGGTATGCGACCCTAAAGACTCATGCTTACCTGCAACAATGCGACCTCAGAACGAGGACTAAGCGAGCCCGTCAGCAAAGCCACCTGAACATTAAGATCGGTGATCCTGAGCAGCATCTTAAATGCGTGACGGTAGATGGCGGCTATGAGGATGTCTTGGGCCTCGTCAAAAATGATGCCTCGCAAGTGGCCAGACGCCTTGCAGGCCTTGACCCAGGTTCGAAACTCGCTGTCAGCACAACGCTCCAAGCTGACGAAAACCAAGCGACAAATGAACAAATTGATATCTCGGGAAGGATAGATGGCGTATGCCAATCCCTTGGAGTTGGCGTCGTCGATGACTTGGTCGAGCAGTGCTCGATATGGAATGACGATAAGACGGAATCCAGCATTCTCCACATACCCAGGGGAGCCGTAGATCACACTCTTTCCAGCACCCGTGGGCATTATGATCAGGACGTGAGGGTAGCCTTGTGAGATGACCTCTACCGCCAAAGCCTGTTGGATGCTCTTGAAGTTGGCCGTTGGGTCGGCAAGATATGCACGGAGGCCTTGGGTTCGAACAAATGCGATTTCCATAGGCCCGACATCAAGAACAGGTGATTGAGAGACATCGCCAGACCGAGCTTGAGTTTGAATGACGGCCTGATGAGTACGGTCAATCTTCTCGTGCGTCGACTGCAGCAAATCGATGATGAGCTTGTTGTTGGAAGCCGTTTCCTTTATGACTACGGTTTGCTCAACAGCGACTGCCTGCAGCTTATCCAGGGTGGCCGATGCCATCTCGTGGAGGGTGGTGTACGAAATCTGTGGTTCGCGAGCGGCGCGCTTGGGGTTGTCTAACCACGTCCAGAAGCGCTGCGATACCTGGAACAACTCTGATATCATGTCTTCGTGAAGGCTAGGGAGGTCGTTCCATGTCAACCCATAACGTGACCTGCCAGTACCGGTGCTGTGTCCAAAACTTTCGTCGATAGCATCATCTTGTTGGTCTCCTTCGTCATCGATGTCCAGATTGAGTATACGGCGCATGATAGCCTTGATCATTTGACGCCACATGCGTAGGCCCATGGAGACATGCAAGTGATGGTTAGTTTGGGTTTGGAGGATTTGCGAGAAGTCCTCGCTGCGCAGCGGTTTGCTAAATCGCATAAATACCTGAGGGCCCAGGTCCCTAGGGGGAGTATGGATAGCATGAATCCAAACCTCAGCAATGCCTCGCAGGGGGCCTGCCAGGTACATGATGATTGGTTGGAGAGGGCGATAAATGGGACGAGCAACGTATTTGTCGGGATAATCTGTGCGCTGGCGAGATTTGTTGTAGCCGGTAATGAAGGTAATATGGCCTGCAACAAAGTACAACGTCCGAGGACCCTCACGTGTATTGGTGAGGCGATATGTTTCGAGTTCTGTGCCCCTAGCCGGTCCTCCTGAAGTCACATGGACAAGGCAGAAAACGATGTCATGGAATTCGGCCAGTGCATTGAACCACCTTGCGACTGACGCTATGAAAGCTTAGCGATTAACCTAAACGATATAAAAGTCAAGCTCACCTTGCTTGAATACCGTCCTGGACGGCTGGCGGACATGATATTTGTTGAATATTTCCGGCGTATCATAGAACCTCTGCAACAAGAGGGCTTGAAAAGCTTTGAACGGATTTTGTGGGTCTTGAATGAAAGAGTAGCCCGGGGTGTTATTACGGAGCGGATCCTTAGGCCACTTGCCAGGCTCTAAGGGATCCAAATGGGTCTTCAAACACTGGTCAAAGTCCTTCATGTCAACGCCTTCGCATAACGATACGATGAGGGTATTTGCGCGGCTGATCAGCGAATGGACCATGTCTCTGATAGCTGATATGATGAGCGGGGAGCCGTCAACTTGAAGGACGGTACGTTCTGTGTTCCAAAGGAGACATGGCAGGCGGGTCTCTGAATGAGCTATGGAGGAGAGCAAGTGCATCTCCTCTCTGAGCGTGGTGAAGGGATACCTTTCGCCTTCAGTGAGCATGGGTTTGAGAGTCTCGAAGTAAAAACTATTGCGTGGTTAGCGAGTGTGATAACACGGTAGCGACAGCACGTACTTCAACAGCCCGTCAGTCGTACCATTCAACACGCGATTGTACCCCTCGAACACCCCAGTTGCACGCATGGAGTATTGTATACATGACAAGTTGGGAACGATGGTGGACGCGGGTTCGAAAGTACCGTCAAGAAGCAGATGCGACATTATCATGTATCTGATGAGATTACAGCTGAAACGATCCTGCGTGATGTGTTCGTTGGGAGTGCTCAAGAATAAGAACGAAACCTCTTGAATATGATGGGTCACAGGACCTCGCAAAGCGCCTGTCAAGACCGCTAAGAGCTGTTGGAGCGCTGTTGTTTGGGTGGCAGTGAGAAGGAGTTCAAAGGGACAGCTGTCTGGAGCGTCTGTGAAACGTAGTAACATTGTGAGGAAGCGGGCCCATATACGTGCACATTTGGCCACGTATGTATCCGTAACAGGGGCTCGAAAGGGAGCGTTGACAATTTCGCTGAACACAAGTTAGTATCAAATAATGAAAGCGATTTCAGACAGACTTACCCTTTAGAAGTGTTGACCCAACGCAAAAAAGTAACGTCGATATTGGGTAGCACAATACATATCTCGCTGAGCCAATCATGTACAGCAGTGTGCAGCGCTTGAAAGTGTTGCTCGTCGTCGCTGGGGCTGGACACGACCTGCAATGCTTTCGTCACCGAAAGGCCCTCGATAGCCTTGTTCCACCCCATTTTGCCCAAGAAAGTTCCGTGTTGCCTCGTGTCATGGTCAACGTGGTACACATCTGAATCAACATGGGGAACATTTCGCGTGATCTCGTCAAGGTATTCGTTAAATGCGCGTTGCTGCGGCGGCATTATGAGATTGAGATCGATGGCAACAAGAGTCTGATTGCCACGAAACTCGTATATGCGTTGGAGGTCGCGCTCTGCTGAGTTCGGACGATACGAGAAACCAGGATGCTTGGAGGCGAAGTGGTCTTGCATGGTGCGTGTGGCAACAGCAAGGAAACCACATCCATCGATTGAGCATGAGGAGCCACGAAGTATTTTGAGGCCAACGATGGGGGGAATGCGTCCTAACGGTGCAGTGAACTTGTTCACGCATCCCAACGACGCGAGGATGGGTTGCAGGACTTCTTGTGGAGGAGGTCGCAAATCATGGCTCACAGCGTGCGTACGGACGTGATCAGCAGGGATTGCGATCTCACAATCAATACAGATCGCGATTTTGTGTATGGGGTCGACGATAATACTGAGTTTGTTTAGGACGGCTACATCAGCTTGGGATGGAGAAGGTAACGGCGGAATAGTTGTGGCTGCCTGTGATATTGATGAGACGAGCATAATGAAGAGGGTGAGGCTGACGTACCGATGCCGGTGCCCCTAAATCTAGCTGTTCTTGTGCGTCTGGGGCAGAGCGATGCTTCGCCTTCTTCGCCTTCTTTTCTTTATGCTTGCGCTTCTTGCTGGAGGAAGGACGATCTGGGGGACTGCCAGCACGCTGGGAAGTAGTACTGTCAGGAAGCGCCATGTAGAACAACTGAAGGGAGACGTACAGACACAACATCAACCTCCTTATCTACTTCGATAGAGCCTTTCTTGGTTTTTCTCTTCTTGTGCACCTTAGGGGAGGGAGTATCGTTACAGTGCGCCAGCTGTGGGGTTGGGACACGGGGAGGAGTACCGCTCCCTGGTGGTATTTCGGCAGGAATACCACCAGTACGCTTAAAAGTGGAAATGTTACACAGTAGCTTGTGAAAGAATTGAAGGCTAACATACCGATGCAGCCTGAGGCTGCTCATTTATGTCACCGGTTTGATCGTGTTTCCTCTTGCTAGGTGCATGAGTATTGCTATCTGAATCGTGAGACGTAGTGTCGGAAACGAGAACACCATCAACGTGGGTCCGCTTATGATGCGTTTGCAGTTGTAGGGGATCTTCGTAGACAGCCTTGCATACATGGCAATGAAAATCGCCGTCGCTTTGACGTGTCAAGGTTACACCATCTGATTGGACTCGCCGTCAGCCTGCTTAATGAGGATGAATGAAGAACATACCGATGCAGATGGATTTAACATGGTCAATTCGTATGTGTTTTGCCATGGCTGTTTTGTGCCTTGTGGTATAGCCGCAGTCAGGGCACTTTTTCGTCCTTAATCTCTGAGCATTAGCGGCTGAAAAAGCGGACGAAGGTTGAGCTCACATTGTAGCAACGAGGGTATGATTGCTGCCATCAGCAGAATTTTTTACTTTAATACTGTAGACCGACGCATGCATGTGCAGACATTCTAATAACAGATCGTGTGTAGTTATAATCGAAGCATTCCGGTACTGCGTTTTGGCCGTGACAGATGTGCAAGTATATGTACGAATATGTAATACTAAGGTGGGGCTGACAGACATAAGATGTGGTTCTCGAAGTCGAAGCATGTGCTAAAATGATTAATGGGCGTAGGAAAGCGTTTTAGGACATGATTGTCTCCTTCCCCTGGCCAAGTACTTCGATTAAAAGTAACTATATTAATGTTGAGAGAAGCCGGGGCCTGGAGCCAAATATCATCATCAACCCATCCATCGTGTGCCTGTCGCATGAACCCCCCTAAGCCAGACCTAGCAAGACGCACTGATATGAAGCTTGGGCCGAGATCTTTGATCGGCACAACATTGATCGGAACAACAGGACAGCAGCGATAAATGCGAGGCCTCCGCGTATTCTTCTAATCGTTGACACACCATACTAACATCTCTGATTTCGCGTATGAAATCGGTTGAATGTTTCCTGTGACTATGCGCACATCATCGATGGGGTCTGACATGTACTTCCTGGACGTGCATGAGCAAGACTTCGAGTACAAACCTTTCAGACTCACAGGAGGCCATCTAGGAACTCTGGGAGGTATGTTATAGGTTCGAGCTGTGGTAAATCATGACAGAACGGGTTCGATGAACTTCTCCATGTATGGTGCGACGTCCACGCCGAAGGCAACGGCTGTACCAGTGAGGCCGACTGGCTTTGTCTACAATCAGATCCGGAGATGAGAAAGTGTGGCTCTACGAGAGCTACCATCGACGACATCAGGGTAATCCCCTTGCCCGTGCTCAAGAGCGAGAATTACAATCCAAAAAAGCTGGCCAAGTGCGTACGTGCTGCGAGAACAACATAGGTGTGCGGCTTGTCCAGATATTCGGTCATAAGGCCAGCATATCCTGTTAGAACGTGGTAATCAGTCTATGCATCAAACGAGGATAAGATCAACCAACCCGTGTCTGAACGCTCCTCAGACGGTTTCGGAACTCCGCCAATGCAGGCGAAGTAGGCAAGATCACATTCAACTACTGCACGATCTCTGCGGCAAACTCCAGATCCTGTATAATACCAGTCAATTAGCATCGCAACGAGAACCACGAAAAACACTAACCTCTTATTTGTCTAGAATCTCCGCGAACGTCTCATGAGGGGCATATTCAAAGGTGCGTGAGCGTTGCTGAAGGTCCTCATCAGCGCCTATATGCGCTCAGTTTCAGCCACCCGCGTGCAGATCAAGACATGATAACTTACCTAGAGCTTCCGTCGATCGACTGGATAAGCAAACATCAGATGACGATGAGCTGATCGGGAACTGTGAAACGCGTGATAAATCAGTGTTGGGTCAAAAAAAGTAGATAGCGATGAGAGTACCTTGTGGTAAAGTCTGTTGAGCAATGATCGGCTTGCCTGGAGGGAACGGAGACGCGGGACTCGCTAACACGTAAAGCGCTGTGAGTACTGGCTTTCTGTTGTGACAATGAGTGATAACAAAGTGAAAAGTAATCGCACCTACGGATGACGTTCAGGCCAGGCGAGAACGTAGCCAACGATTATTTGGAGGCGTTGAGAAAAAGGAGAAAAACCGACAAGCGTTTGCTCTCATCGACGACAAAGGTATGAGATTGACTCGAGCGTTTGCGCTCGGGCCAAAGAGAAACATCAACGAGCGATTGCGCTCGTCGACGAGAAAGGTGATAGATTGACGCGAGCGTTTGCGCACGGGCCAAAGAGAAACATCGGCGAGCGTTTGCGCTCGCCTGATGGACCCCTATATTGAATGTAGGGGAAGATGGGAGTACGAGGAAGAGAAAGGAAAATTACGTAAGGTCCAACATTGTTTGTTTGTAGGAAAGCCCGCAAACAATTACATAAGCTACACAACATTTGTTTCAACGTTCGATCTTACATAAGCGTCAAAATAATGGTGCACCGGCTCAATAACAATTACATTATTAATAGTATACCACCACTGTTAATCATGTTAAGTAAACAATTAAAATAGACCTGTTAATTCGGTGAAAAACAATATTGATTCGGACATGCTGAACACTGGTGTTCTAATTAATTTAAATGAACAATTAAAATAAGCCTGGTAATTAGGGGAAAAACAAGATTAATTCAGATTGTTTATTAATGGTGGTGCAATGGGATGCAAAATGATATTGTTATATCAAGTTGTCAATTGGCAGGTCAACCCTAAGCAAGGCAGCTAACCGAGACAACGAGAAACCGAGAAGATATGTATTCATCCGAAGCAAGGCAGCTAACCGAGACAACGAGAAACCGAGAAGATACATATTCATCCGAAGCAAGGCAGCTAACCGAGACAACAAGAAACCGAGAAGATATGTATCCATCCAAAGCAAGGCACCTAACCGAGACAACAAGAAACCGAGAAGATACATATCCATCTGAAGCAAGGCAGCTAACCAAGAAAATTGAAATCCTGCAAGATATCAAGCAGATACTTCCGACATTATGTTGATTTTGGGCTTTTCTGACCCGAATTTGCAGTTTTATATAGGGGAACATCAGTTAAATGGCCATTGGAACATCCGGGGCTGTAGTTGGGACTTCAGGTATGTTGAACGGAAATATTTCATCTTTGCACGAAGCAAACCCGCGTGATATCAAGCAGATAGTTGCAACATTATATTGATTTTGGGCTTTTCTGACCCGAATTTGCAGTTTTATATAGGGGAACATCAGTTAAATGGCCATTGGAACATCCGGGGCTGTAGTTGGGACTTCAGGTATGTTGAACGGAAATATTTCATCTTTGCACGAAGCAAACCCGCGTGATATCAAGCAGATAGTTGCAACATTATATTGATTTTGGGCTTTTCTGACCCGAATCTGCAGTTTTATATAGGGGAACACTAGTTTAATGGCCATTGGAACATCCGGGGCTGTAGTTGGGACTTCAGGTATGTTGAACGGAAATATTTCATCTTTGCACGAAGCAAACCCGCGTGATATCAAGCAGATAGTTGCAACATTATGTTGATTTTGGGCTTTTCTGACCCGAATTTGCAGTTTTATATAGGGGAACATCAGTTTAATGGCCATTGGAACATCCGGGGCTGTAGTTGGGACTTCAGGTATGTTGAACGGAAATATTTCATCTTTGCACGAGGCAAACCCGCGAGATATCAAGTGGATAATTCCGACATTATGTTGATTTTGGGCTTTTCTGACCCGAATCTGCAGTTTTATATAGGGGAACACTAGTTTAATGGCCATTGGAACATCCGGGGCTGTAGTTGGGACTTCAGGTATGTTGAACGGAAATATTTCATCTTTGCACGAAGCAAACCCGCGTGATATCAAGCAGATAGTTGCAACATTATGTTGATTTTGGGCTTTTCTGACCCGAATTTGCAGTTTTATATAGGGGAACATCAGTTTAATGGCCATTGGAACATCCGGGGCTGTAGTTGGGACTTCAGGTATGTTGAACGGAAATATTTCATCTTTGCACGAAGCAAACCCGCGTGATATCAAGCAGATAGTTGCAACATTATGTTGATTTTGGGCTTTTCTGACCCGAATTTGCAGTTTTATATAGGGGAACATCAGTTTAATGGCCATTGGAACATCCGGGGCTGTAGTTGGGACTTCAGGTATGTTGAACGGAAATATTTCATCTTTGCACGAAGCAAACCCGCGTGATATCAAGCAGATAGTTGCAACATTATGTTGATTTTGGGCTTTTCTGACCCGAATTTGCAGTTTTATATAGGGGAACATCAGTTTAATGGCCATTGGAACATCCGGGGCTGTAGTTGGGACTTCAGGTATGTTGAACGGAAATATTTCATCTTTGCACGAAGCAAACCCGCGTGATATCAAGCAGATAGTTGCAACATTATGTTGATTTTGGGCTTTTCTGACCCGAATTTGCAGTTTTATATAGGGGAACATCAGTTTAATGGCCATTGGAACATCCGGGGCTGTAGTTGGGACTTCAGGTATGTTGAACGGAAATATTTCATCTTTGCACGAGGCAAACCCGCGAGATATCAAGTGGATAATTCCGACATTATGTTGATTTTGGGCTTTTCTGACCCGAATCTGCAGTTTTATATAGGGGAACATCAGTTTAATGGCCATTGGAACATCCGGGGCTGTAGTTGGGACTTCAGGTATGTTGAACGGAAATATTTCATCTTTGCACGAGGCAAACCCGCGAGATATCAAGTGGATAATTCCGACATTATGTTGATTTTGGGCTTTTCTGACCCGAATTTGCAGTTTTATATAGGGGAACACTAGTTTAATGGCCATTGGAACATCCGGGGCTGTAGTTGGGACTTCAGGTATGTTGAACGGAAATATTTCATCTTTGCACGAAGCAAATCCGCGAGATATCAAGCGGTTATCCGCCACCCTACCTGGTTTATGTAGGAAAAATACAATTAGATATGGGAGAGCACATGTTAAGACACATCAGATCATGTGGTGCTGATGATATAGGGTGTGGATTAGTCAGACAAACATTTCATAACATGGCCAAACATGTTTTGCACCTATGTATTATTATTCTATGATTTAACTGTGATTTATGGAATTTAATACTCTATCCGCATACTGCCTTATATGGACATCGGAACACTAATGAAATTTGGGGTTATGTAAGCACTACCATGAGTGATTTTTTGAGATACTCAAGTTGGCATATAGTGTGGATATCGCCCAGGAATTTACATCTTGCTTTGAGAAATACGTCCAATTTTAAACGCGTTGTAAGAATACGGTATGCTTAGTCATCAGATAAGTGATGAATGATAGTCCAAGCCATGAGCATATAGTTTATGGTCTATGACTCAGATTTTGTTCCCACGCCCTCTAATCAGTGCATTTCGTGTTCCGAATGATCTGGCGTGCAAATGCAGCTTCCGCGTGGAAGTCCAGTAGATAGGCTCCCTCAGGGAGCCGGTCACGTACCGTGTTGAAGTTGGACGTCTCGTCCAGCGTTGCAGCCATGGAGCTAAGTGAGTGTGTCAGTACTCGGTCCCCTGAGGGAGCCGCACACTTACGAGCGAGTGATCTGAGCCATGACGCTCTCATTTATCTCCACCTCCTTTTTACTGAGCTGGACGGGCACCATCACCATCTTGTAGGGGATCAACGTGTCGTTGATCTTCTTGCCGTCAAAAGTAATCGATTCGACCGTCCGTCGAATAACACGCCCGCGGTAGCCACGTTTGATGTTGGTGACCCAGTTCGTCGTGGCCGTCCGAATACGGATCCTCGCTTCAGGCTCGTCGTCGTGACTTTTGGAACCGGCAGCCAACAAACGAACGGTGTGCGCTGCGGCATCAATCTTATCTTCGTGAGTCATGCTGCGACGGGCCGCACGAAGTTGCTTGAGGTGCTCCTTGTCGCGGTCATCGCCAAGCTTGCCCATGAAATATGGGATGCGGGCCAAACGGCCTAAGTTGCAGAGGTCCTGAAAATTAATCAGTGAGTGCTAACACAATACGACAGTGTGCTACTTACCTTTGGACCCGTGTACAACGGGGTGCCAGTCGACAGGAGTTTGACTATAGCTGCCTTCATCACCTCCAAGGTCGCGTAAAACCCGGCGGTAAGGTTGCGCATATCGTGGACCTCGTCCACGGAAGCGGTAAGAAACTTCTGACGCGCCCACAGGCACTTTGCAGCCTGCTTGCGTAACTTCAGCGAACGCATGTCGTCAGACGCCTTGTTGCTGTTGTGCCCAGGGACACCTTTGCGTGTATCGAACACTTTGCCGCTCGTGTTCATAACCTGAAATCTAGTAAGTACTTGCGACTGATGTTAGTGAGCAGACTCACTGAGTGATTCACCAAGATGATGCGGTGAATTAATGGAGTGGCGGAGGTTGCCCAAGCACCGTTGAAGAATTCACCGAACTCGCTCTCCGCGGTGGGGTAATTATATATCTCAACTGCTTTGGGCGCGAAAAATGTACGGAGCTCGGAGTACCACTGACTATTGAGTGAATTGGGCACGATGATGACGTGGGGGAGGTTGGGGATGGCATCCATGCCTGCAAAATATGGGCGTTCGGCTGTGGGGCAGAAGGGGATGGTAAGTCAAAGTTCACTCTCAACGAACGGCTCCCAGGGGGGACCGGCTGTACAACAGCCACCAGGTATCGCATGTGCTGCAACGGCTCCCACTGGGGACCGCTTACATGCGGCGACACCAACTACAGTCAAATTACTAACGGCTCCCTCAGGGGACCGCCACTCGCATCAATGCGATCACCAGCAGCACCAGCAACATCAACAACATCAACACCACCCGACGGTTGGTGGGTCAGAAACGGCTCCCTCAGGGGACCGCTACTCGCGTCAATGCCAACACCACCACCAACATAGACACCAACTGATCGATGGTAGGTCAAGAACGGCTCCCTCAGGGGACCGTCTAAAAACTCTGCACTCACCCAGAATTGGAGCGGGGCGCACGTTAGTGACGTTTATGGTCGATGTCACCCCATCTGGTCTCCCTCGCCCAGCTGCGACTTCCTGGATCCAGAAGGCATCGATAACGAAAGCAATGAACCCCATGGTGAGTGCTGTCTTACCCACGCCGACCTCATCAGCGATCAGCATCCCTGGCACCTCCTCATCCGACTTGGAAGCAGACCAGATCTTGTCGACCATCGCAGCGACACCAACCCGTTGATGCCACAGGAGGGCCAACGGCTCCATGTCCTCGTTGCCTTCCACGAATTTCGACGTCGACGCCGCATCCCACGCGCACAACCCAGTTTTCGAGCGAAACTCGGCAAAAAGTACGGGCTTGCCACCCGGGAACTGCAGCAGGTGATTAAGTTTGTCGTTATCCATCTCTCGCCAACCATCCACGCCGAGGTCTTCAGAAGCGTCGTTCCAGGCAGCTTTCCCGCTGTCTTCTATGTCTTCCTCGTCTTGTGGGGCCTCTAACTGACCGGGTTCAGTTTCAAACATCTGAACATACAGCGCCCAGATCTCCTCCACGTCACCGGCGGCAACGAGAGAGCCCGACTTAACCTTGCGCGCACGCTGAGCACCACGTTTGCCTGGTAACGACGGTGAGTACACATGAAAACGGCTCCCTAAGGGGACCGCGCTACGCACGGCCAGGTGTGTTGTCCGTTTTCACCGTCACCTTCTCCTTTGGCACTTGCCTAACCTTTGCTACCGCAACCACGACGACCTCTTTCAAGAACTCCTCGTATTCCCCCAGTTGATCTTGTTCCTCGGGGAACCACCCGACTGCCATGCTGAGCGCCTTGACGGCCTTCGTCGCCTCACGCAGCTGCTTGGCAGTGACCTCATCCGCGTCCTCAATTTCTGTCCCAAGTGAGTCACTAATCATACGTGCCTATCAAGACGACTCACCTTTCACGGCTACGGACGCAGCCAGTTTTTTCATGGGCAATCCTGTCTTGGCACGCCTGTAGCGTTTGCGGTGACGCTCCCAGGCGTGATGGTTGATGGCATACCAAGCATCACGAAAATCGCCACGCGGCACCCGTTCCATTGCGTTCTCGCCAGCAATCGCGAGCAGGACGTCCTCCCTGGCGCCTTCCGCATCTGTAATGTTCGGAAACTCCTCCCCTTCCTGAAGTCCCTCGTTATTGATTAGTTGCAGCGGTGCTACTCCGCACTCATTGTACGCGTCGTCAATCGCATGACCTATGTTGTTAGATACCTTTTGTTTTGTGAACCATTTCTTCAAGGCCGAGCGTCCAGCACTCCATCCTCCCTCGCTCTTGCCTTCGAGAACCTTATAACGTTCTTCTCCGGTCTTCCTCTTACGAATCGCCTCGATCATCGCGACAATAGACGCCCTCTCGTCCTCGGTGAGATGCTTGTTGGGTTCATCGAATAATTTCTCAGTCAGCCCGTACAGCTCCTGCAGAGTCCCCGACTCCTCCGCAAAAATCCAGTCCTTACCGGACAGGAGGAGCATCAAGACGGCGCTTTGCAGATTGTGACTCATGTCTGCTCCGTCAGCGGTGCATTAGCGTTGTTGTACTCCTGGGTGAGTGCACTTACTAGTTGTTTGTTGGTTTGGTGGGTTTGTGTTTCGTTGTAGGTGTTGTTGGTTGCTCGGTGGGTGATGTGTTGTCACCTCCGGCGCAGCTACTTATAACGCGATGGATAATTACCTTGAAAATATCAAATTTTCAGGGACGTTGTGATTGTGCGCGACGTACGCTACTCGATAACTACATGGGGATGCCCCGTCAGCATCAGGGTTCAGGGTTAGTTTGTTAAAGGGTGTAGATTGCCTGATATCAGTGGGTGAGCGCGACTCGTTTCTTTCATATCCGCAGTGTGACTGTGATTGATGTCAGTAATCGGCTCCCTGAGGGAGCTGCTGCACTGGATCTTTGCTGAGTGTTTCTCATTTTGTCCGTCCTTGCTGGCTAACTAACTGATCTCATGGGTGGATTCAGAATACTGAGATTTCATGATGGATGGGCCGACAAAACGTGTCTTCGATGTGGTGGGTTCTACTTCGTTTCTACTTTGTGACAATCGCCTGGGTACAGACTCTGTACGTGCCGATCGATATATGGTCAAATGGGGCAAAGTCGACGCGATCTGGGCGCGGCTCCCAATGGGAGCCGCGCCTGCAGATGCGCGTCTCTTGCCCCATTTGACCTTATTTCGATCGGCAACGAACGGAGTCTGTACCCAGGCGATCGTCACGAAGTGGAAACGAAGTAGAACCCACCACATCGAGGACACGTTTTGTTGGCCCATCCATCATGAAATCTCCTTATTCTGGAAGGAGTTGTACAGATTCTTAAATAATTGTATTATATATTCTAAATTACATGATGTTTTAATCGATGAGACCTGTCCCTCTCAAGTGGGTGAACGGAACCCATCACACAATGTCACATCTGACATCACACATGTGCAAGTACACTAACGCATTCTCTTAATCACCGCTGTTGAGAGGCGAGGCGCGGTTACCACTTGTCACGTGGGACAAATGTGAGGTCAATTGTCCGGTCCCCTCAGGGAGCCGGTGACAGTCCCAGTGCCAGATCTTCGCAGCGATGTTTTAGTGTGAACATATGTACATCACGTACATTCCTATTGCATCAGCACATGGCTTACACGCACTTGCCACTGTGAGTCACAGATCAGTGTAAGTAATGCAACGGTCCCCTGAGGGAGCCGTCCAGTACAGCGACTGTTTATCAGGCAAGTGTGCGTGCGGTCCCCTTAGGGAGCCGCTGTTCATCCTTGCCTGCCTCGTGCCTCATCACACTGACAACCCTAATTCGTCCTAAAAAGGAAATACTTATCTGCCTGCCGCTAATTTAGACCCTAGATTAGGGTTAGGGTCTCAAGCACTGAGCCATCCACCTGCGCAACCTACGATCATCTATCAACCCTAACTAACTAAGCCAATCCCAGGAAGTCGTGTGGAGGGCCAATGTACCCGCAATGGTCGAAGGTTGCGAAGCTAAGTCCCGATTTTTGTTGGCCTTCATCCTCCTCTCCATAAGGATCTTCGTGAGCGCCTCGCTCGCGATCGTCTCTCCTGACGGCAATCTCTCATACGCCGACATCAACTCCTTCTTGTCCTTCGCTCGTGGAACGACGCGTTGCTTCATATTGATCATGTAGTTCGTAAGTCGGACCATCAAGGTACGTCGGTGTTCCCAGATGATGCCCGCGATCTATGACGCAACATAGTTAGCGTATTCGGTCGCGTTAACGCTCCCCCCTCGAAACTCACCTTGGCGCTGTATTCGTGTCCCTTCCCAAGGAAACGCGAGTCATTGGTGATGTTCTGCAACATCACCGTCGACCAGTCGTCCATGGTGTGGGTCTTCGGGTGGAGCATTCGATAATAGTCGAGGAGGCTCTCGAACCAACGGCAAACCTTCGTTCGAAATGTTAAGGTGAGTTCTGCGCGTCATTAGAACTGATTAATAATTTACTCACCTCCGCCAGTCCGTCTTGAATGCGCACGAACGAGTCCCATGACTCGTTCATGACGAAACCACATAGGAGGGGCTCAGGGGCGTGCACTTGCCCTTGCTCTGGGGTCAGATAGAGGAGGACACGGGCGACCACACGATCGAGGTGAGCGAGGATCTCGTTTTCTTCGTAGTCCTCGTTCGACGTGAGTCCCCACCCGTCTTGCAGCGTTTTCACCACGCTCTGGCGATAGATGCTCAGAGGTGCGATATACACCGGGCTCATCTCCCCCATGTGCTCGCTGATTTTCGACAGTGCCGACGACGCATTCTTGTCCAGGCCATCCATCACGTTCGCCCACAGCGAAAGGTCTTGATCGTCCTTCGCCTTCGGGGTTCGCAGCAGCAAGGTGCGTAATTCCGCGACCTTGGCGATGGCGGCGGCATCGCGAGCGTCTGCTTTCTCCAACAGGTCCGTCACCTCCGCATAGCTCGGGAACATCGCCTTCGAGCTCAAGCGCCTCAAGGTCTCGATGCGGATCTTGATCCACTGGAGATACATCTGGTGATAACCGTGAGTCGACCCTCCTTCATCTATACTAAAGCGAATCCACTCACGCCCATGCAAACGTTAATAGACTTCGCAAGCCAGTTCACCGTAAATTCACGGCGATGCCTGAAGTGCGGTCCGAGCTGCAACAAACGTGTCGCGAGGAACACACACAAAGTCTCGTGCTCCAGCACCTTGTGCAGACGTGCGTTCTTCTCCTGCGTCGTACGAATCGATAACAAATGCTCGACAGCGAGACGATCACGCTCGTTAACAGGTGACGAATCGTACAACACCTTGATCTGTTTGAATAGCGTGATCAGCACCTCCTCTTCAGTCTCCTTGTACTCGTGCAAGGAGCTGTTGCGGCTCAAATGGTTCGCGAGTTCGTTCCCTTTCGCCAGTAGTTTATCTAGTATGTGTATCGTTAGTATACGTCTTTGGATAAATAAATAATTCGAAGAACAATGGCATTAGGTCCGCGGATTGATGACTCTGCATCGGCGGACCTGTGTACACTAAGGTGCATATGGTCCGCGGATTGATCACCTTACATCGGCGGACGTATACACACGAAGGTGTGTATGGTCCGCGGATTGACATATCGACATCGGCGGACGTGTTTGTGTGCTAATGTGCACATCGTCCGCAGACTGGCCTATCCACATCCGCGGACGTGTCGACACAATGTCTCGCACACCCGTCGTTTATCGTATAAGTGAGTGTGCACACAATACTCACCTTCGTCATATATGGTGACACCCCATTTCCCGATCCCGTACAGCAGGCCCTTCACCCGACACATCGCAGTGTGACAGTCGTTGTACGTCGCGATATGATCTGTGGTAAGATGTTTTAACGCGTTGATCTTCTCCCGCTTCGTCTCGAGTGCAGAGTACTCGTCGAGGAGCGACTGATTATAACGTTGTAGTGCGGCGAGTCGATGTTGCCCCGATGCGACGACGATCGCTTTGAGATCACGCATCTCCAGTTCCAGGACCTCCTCCGGATCGTCGAAATTCTTCACGAGTGATTTAGCATCCTTAAGACGCGAGGTCTTCATGATCAGCGGGATCGCCGCAACATCCTTCATCGACACGATCCCGCTCGTCTCGAAACTCCCTACTAATTTATTCGTTTCAGACTCGTTCTGGGGCCGGTCGTTGTAGACCCCGAACTTGAGCCGCCCTGCGATCGCAAGCAGATCAACCCAGGCAACCCCCACCTTACACTTGGCCACCTGGCTGTCTAGCTTCTGCGTCTCTTTCGCGATGTCCGTCGTCGGAACGATCGCTTCGATCGGTCGGTTGTTCATATGCAACACAGACGCCCCATCAGCCTGATCAAATTCAATATTTTAAAACGCTATCAGTGAGTCTTTTCTTCGAATTCTTTAATGATCGGCACTTACCTTCGTATTCTCTCCTCCTCCTTTGCTTTTTTTCGGCGGCATCTTCTTCACAGACTTGTATACAAGGTAGGGCAAGGTGATGGTATGTTATCAGACGATCTATTGTAATTTATCAGCGTCCCCCTGCTTTCTGACTCCTCTTTCCCCTTCCGTGCCCTTCATTTCCTCGAGGCTTCTTCATGTCCGCGACCGTCACGTGCTGATACCACGTGACGGATCACGGAAATTCAGAAGCCTCGAGGAAATGAAGGGCACGGAAGGGGAAAGAGGAGCCAGAAAGCAGGGGGACGCTGATAAATTACAATAGATCGTCTGATAACATACTATCACCTTGCCCACGGCACGTCCGCCGTTGTTCAAAGGTCAATCCGCGGACCTATACATACTTGTGTGTGTATCTATACACACTATGTTACTATGTTACTATATTGTCTATGTCAATTTTCATTTTGTGTGTGTATCTATACAATACTTTTGTGTGTGTACATAATACTATGTTCATATATTGTCTGTGTCGATTTCCATTATGGTCCGCTGTTCATGATAGGCCTATCTGCGGACCTCTATTGACATCTACGTAGATATCAATACAAAATATTAATCATTAACTCTCATGTTGTCCATCATCACTGAGTGTTTCTTCGTACCTATGTGTAAATATTAGCCGTATATAGGGTTCATGTATCATTTATGTTGATAGTTTTATTGTCTATATGTTACTAAATTTCAATAGAACACACACACGTTTTTGGTTTTGGGCCTTGGGGGGTAACATAACCATACTTTTAACCGAACCCATTTACAATATCCCTATATAATAGTCCACTCACCTCAGAGTCAAAGTGGCGTAATACACGGCTATAACGCGTGAACGTACAAAAGGTCGAATTGAACATGGAGATGGTGTTTGAGGCTTTGAGCTCGGTGTCAAGGACGTGAAACCGACGGGGAGGCAGTCGCGCAACGCTGTGGACTCCCCTATGATAATAAGCAAGTAAGGCTGCTGCAAACCGCAGAAGCAGAAACAGGTACGGAATTAAAGAAGACGATCGCCGAAAAAGGAAAGTTTGTTTAAAATCAAGGGACGACGGTGCTCAATAATTTTATGGAAGTTGTCAGTGTTCGTCGCTTGCCACCAGCGACAACGAACGGCTCGTCGTCGTCGTCGCCGTCGTTAAACCGACCTGCTGTCCATCCCGAAGCTGGTCTTCGCAGCGTGCATGCCACAGACGCTCGTCACGACTAGTGTAACGTTCAAGTTGATCCTGGGAATAGCCAACGTTCTTCATCTTTGTCGACACTACTATGGCAGACTTATCACCTGGCTTGGGTATGATAAGCACGCGCACATCACGGTCCTCGATGTCAAGCAACATAAATCCTCTTCCACTCATGCGCCGTACATCCGAGGGCAGTGCACCGTCAACGCCATCCACACCATCAAGCATTCCATCCTTTCGCGCTATCCGTAATCTCCTCCCGTTTGGAAATAGCAAACCAGCGTCGCCAGCTCAGCCGCCAATACAAACGAAACACCCTTTCCACTTTTCATCTCTCCGTCGCTCCAGTGACCGCAAACCTTCCATCTCCTCTGTCCGGGATCGACAACACGACCAGGATAATCCCCCTGTCATGTCTATATCCCGTCTTGATGCTGAAGAATTCACTTCGCACAAGAGGAGCTATGATCTTGTCCGTGCTGCCTCTGCCTCTGACAGCCTCCTCCCTTCACTCTCCATGGCTTCACAGTCTCCTACAATTGTTGACGACGAGATGTACGGTTCGTAGTCTCCCAATCTTTGTTAAGCGCCATTATGAAATATTCCTTCATCTCATTACTAGCCCCCGTCTACCCATGCCCCGCTGACCTTAGTACCATCCTGGAAGCTGACAATTCGGGTATTTCGAGACACATCCCTTCCTCAAGTCCATCACCCTCTCCCTCCCCTACTTCGCCACACACTTTCTTTCCATCCAAGGTCAAGTTCTCCCCACCACCATCTCAGGACACCTTTCCCATCTCAAAAGACCCATCTGCTTCCCAAACTTCTTGTGATCCCTCCCCCGCCACCTCCAATCTTGATCTCTCCCTCTCAAAATTATCCGCCGAACTCCATGATGCTCTATCCCCCACCACTGCCGACGGTTGGTCCAGTGTTATTGTGGTCGAAGATGCAGATATGCCATTCCCACCTCGGAGAACAAATTATGGGTATGACAGCAAGGAAACGGTTTCGTGTCTTCCTCAGGCCTCAGACCCAGATGCGACCTTTGACTTCAGCGCGCTTGATCCTGACCTTGCTGAGCTACTCAGCCCACATCGCACGCCCAGCAAGGACAAAGAGGAATCAGCTACTAATATATCCGTGCCAAATGTATTCAGTAGTACGCCATATGGAGTTGCATGTACCACAATCCCTCAAACACCTGGTCCTCGACTTCATTCCGCGCCTTTCGCTGAACGATCTACTACACCTTTGTCGCTAGGGCCCCCTGAAGCGCCATCACGAGAGCCAATAACGCCTTTATCGCCTAGCATACGGTCACCAGCAATTCACCAGCCTACAACCCCATTTCCTCGACCTTCACAAGGAGTAGTGCGCTCTCCAGAGCCCTACAAGCTCCCTATTACCCGTCCCTCACGTCGCCCGCCGTCGCATTTGCCAAGGCTTATGCGGAGTGTCTCTTCCGCCCCTCCTTCAATGGCTGCGGGCACGCCAGTGACCTCAGTCGAAACAGTTACAAGAATGCAGAGGCGTCAGCCTCCGTCTCCTTTATCGGCTGGGCAGGTCACAGTGGACACGGTGATGCGATCGTCATCGGATACTACGGGGTTAAGGGTATCTTCGGACACGGGTGTGTCTCGCCCATCAGTAGATGTCAGCTTCATACCTCGCTCCTCTTCCGACTCAGGAATGAGGAATACTCGCGGTGGATCAGTGGAGGTGAGTTTTTCTGTGTTCAGATTATTTTTCATATACTTACATAGTGATTTGTAGCAGAATCAACACCCAACGCTGCAGGTACATGTACCCTCATGCCCAAGTGTTGATGTTGTTCCCACCAGAGGGGCAACACCTTCGGTGCCCTGCATCACCACAACCCTTGTACCTACTTCTGCTGCGCCTTCACCCGCCAGTCTTAGTGCATCTTCCTCAACCACCCTTATCTCACCCTCCGCTACCACGACCAGCGCAAATACAAGGACTCCCACATCTAGCCCTCCCCCAACTACAAGCGCCCCCCATGACCCAACCCACCTCCGCCGCCGTCATCACCCCCACCTCTTTTTCAGCCGGAAGAGAAGCTTAAGTGTCGATGAGCCTTCATCCTTATCTGCTCATGTTGAAAGACCAGGATCCAGCGCGAGCAATCGCCTCAATGGGACGGGGAGGTCCGGGCTTGGTGTTGGGAATGGAGTTGGAGATAGAACAGGGAGAGTCAACCTCTCTCCCGGAGAAAACAGACTTGTGTCCTCCCCACTCACCCGCAGCACGCTTACACCAGGACCTCCAAATATGGAATGGCTCGGTCCAAGGACTGCCAAAGCCTTTGCTGCTGCTGGGCTGCTTGATGGGGAACGAGAGGAGTCTGGTGCAAGGTTCGAGAGAGAGAGAGCAGGGTCTGTCACTGTCAATGTCAATCGCTTCGAGCAGGACCGAGAAAGCGCAAGTTCAGCACTGAGTCGGTATGACCGCGAAGGTGCCACTTCGGTGATGAGCCGGTTAGACCGTGATCGTGAAACGTCTCTTGGCCGTTATGATAGAGACTATTCGACGATCAACCGGTATGCTTCATTGCGGGACCATGCTCCTTCGCGTGCGGCGTTTTCAGAGGCTGCGAGCTCGTCTTCGCTTGGGACGAGGAGCGCGGGTACGACGGGAAATGCTGGTGCAGGTTGGAGCCCAAGCCCGACGTTCTCGAGTGCTGCGAGAACTGCGTTTTCGGGGAGCACGGCCCCTACGAGCGTGAGCAGTGGTGTGGGATCGGGGATCGGTGCTGGGGCTGGGGCTGGGGCTGGGGCTGGTGTTGGGAATGCAATCGGAGCCAACGTCCGGACGCTTCAAGACAAACATTATCTCGAAACCTCGGCCCTACTGAATGCCCTTGCGGACTCCCAGGAGACGTGTAGGAGACTGAGGGAGGAGAATGGGATGCTGAGGGAAAGATTGAGGGTGTTAGAAGCCATGGCGAACCAGGACAGAGATGACGTGGGCTTGGGCAGAGGTGTAGGACTTGGCGTGCTTAGCATGGACGAGGAAGATGGGTCTGATAAAACACATCGCTGCGATCAAGACTTCGAGCGCTTGCCCCGCAAGCACCTTGCTTCTCTCCGCGTCTCCCCTGCCCACCAATCCCGAACACTCACGCCCGTCCCCCGCAGGCCTCATCTCGAACGTTCGCACTCGCATCTTCCCCAGCATGGCAGACACCATACTGTATCCGCTAAAGCGTCCTACGATTTCACATACCGACGGACCCCCTCCCCATCACGGTCTACGCAGCTCAGACCTTTTTCCCCGCAGAAGAGGCAGCCCCAACCTCCAACCCCATTGTCCGTCCAGCCTCCTTCCCCGCAGAAAAGACAACTACAGAGACAAAGACGCGCAAGCACATCCTCGAGCTTATTCCCCGCTCCACCGCTTGAAATGTCGATGTTGATGCTGGAGGATGTGGGGTTATCTGCCACGGTGAGCGAGTCACCGCCCTCTCCTGGCGATCCCTCCCATGTTGGCAAAAAACTGGGGCATAAACAATCGTATTCGCATTCCATGATTCCTCGTTCGCACTCCTTCTATAGACCTCAGCCCTCTTACCCAAGTCAATCTGTATCATTCACCTCCTTCGCATCGACAGGCACAATATCTGCGAGCCCAAGCACTGCGACGTTCTCGATGACAGAAGCTCCGGGGTCTCCACATAGTCTACAACTGCGCCCCGAACACGAGCTACACCTTGGCGATATGACGAGTTTGAGTCTATATGCTATGAGCGACGGGGAGGGGGATGATGGGGATGATGGGTGGAAGGATGAGGTATGAATTTTTTTTTTTTTTCTTGTTAGCGACCTGTGGGTGGCTTTCGAGGTGCGGTCACCTCCTGATAATTATGCTTCCCATGCGCTATGCTCTAGGATCTTCATCATTCGTTTGTTCATAATCCGTTCATTTTGCCTTGGCGCTTTTCTTGCTCTCCTCTTCTACTTTCTTCGAATTCGTCTTTCTGCATTTGCTTCTGCTCTCGTGTACTGCTGATTCGATCTTACATATCCACGCTATTTCATTGTAGAATATACCCAAGTTTACAATAATTGTACATAGATACCCTCCATCAAGTACTTGATAATCAAATGCTGTTTGAACTCCTCTGCAATCCAATGCTCTTTCGGAATGATAAACAAAACCTACTCATAAGTTCAATTAATTAACCGATATCAGTATACAGCACCGAACACATCCCATGATGTTGCTCGGACCCAACCAGTGCTAGTGATCGATGTGCCAATGTCAGCTGTTACAAGATGCGCCCGGTCAACTGGTGAATATCCGACATCAACAACCCAAGAAAATGATAAGAAACCAAGCGGTGGCACGCCGCACACTTCCACAGACATCCACGTGCACCTCTAGAGCAGCGGAGGATCGATCTTAGACCTTCTGAACCAAGTTGGCACGGTGAATAAAGCATTCCCGGGCGTGGGCTTCTAGGTTCTTGAGACAAAATGTTCTGGAATACACGTAGTAACGTACGGCTTTTAGTTTGGTGGAACCGGCACGTAGCTCTGGGCTAGGTTAACGTTCCTGCACAGTCTGACACACGCGCGCTCTCGCCCACTGCCGGTTCAATTAATTGAATCTGGGGAATGGATGACTGATTCATGTTCAAATTAGTGTGGGCGTTTTTGGGGTGAGTGCCGCAAACCCAGCGCCGCATGGGTATGTAGTCACTGGAGTGTTACTAGTGCCTTCTCGGCTAGATATTTTCCTACGGGTTTGGCGGTTTCCCAATGAAGAGGAATCAGGAATCAGGATAGCGGCTTAATGATATGAATGGCATCAACTACACAACGAGGGTACCGCCTACCTGGGTACCAATGGTGATCCAGCAGACATTTAGGGGAGACCGCTGCTCTTTCAGAGTTTAGATATGTTGGCTCGTTAATGGGCGCGGGCGCCGGTCCAGAGCATGGCGATAGCATGGGCATCATTCGTAAGAATGCCGATATCGGTTTATGGCTTCTTCAAACTGTTACTGCGGAAGAGACTGTCCAGCAAGTAATCAGATCGTGTGACCTGTGGCGGTCGAAGGAAGAATACTGGGTGTCAATATCCCAAACCAACTGATGTCGAACCTTCCAGTGAGAAAGGCGATTCAGGCTCGTGTCATCATTAAAGCTCCGTACATGGATGTCCTTCTTGCGGTTGCCTTAGTCGTGCCTGCGCTTATCAACGATATCCACAGCTTTGCCGTTTCAGTGATCGAGCAATAGATGTATGGCTCGCGTTATGTCGCGGATACTCATCGGGAACTCAGCATGTAAAAGCCACGTACCCGGAGCGATCAACCAGGCAAAATAAATAAGTATTGGCTGAGATAGGTGATCGTCTGGCGTTTGTTTCAGAGGAAGCGCCACTGCCGCCGACGTATCAATTCAGAGGTTAGGTTGATTCGACGCGTTGAAGCTTTGTCGTTTCATCAAGGATAATATCTATAGATCGTAGGAGTAAAAATATCAATGTGCTGCAAAAGGTGAATTCTTGCGCAGTCGTGCGCCAATTCGGTAAAATACGGAACTGGTAATCAGGAAATGAGGGTCAATATTGCATATTATTTGCTGTTTGTTTGACTCACGGTAATGGCGCCATGATTGTTGCGAGGCCGGCCAGAAGAGCGGTGGCGCCAACAGTACCCAGTCTATTATACATGGCTCCCGCGAACAGCGGAAACGCAGCGGCAAATGCTGACCGCAATGCGCTATTACTCGCCATAGCAGACGCAGCGATTGGGCGGTATGCAGTGACAAGGTATGTGAACGTTGATGTAAAAACAAAATATATCCCGGAGCCAAAAGGTACAGACGCGATTATTGGGGCAATCCAGTGAACTTGCGGATATGTTGTGAATGCGAGGCAGAACAAACCTGTAGGTATTGTAAGTATTATGCGACCAAGAACCACTTTTTACTGACCCACTGGCACTAGTATACCTCCTACTTGACCCATAATAAGCCTCGTCTCAGGAGGTGGATCACCATTATATTTGGCAGCTTCGCGGGCAAATAGTCTGGAACGGAGTATCGTCAGTATTAAGGCTGAACGTCAAGAGAAAAAGGGACCTCCCTGTTCCAAAATGGCTGTGTGGAAATAGCCGAAAGCATTCCGAATCCGATCCCAACGAACGTTAGTCCAGTCGTTTGCATATTAAATCCATGGACATCCTCAAAAATAATGGGGAATGCCTGGAATGCCAAGTATAGGATTCCAAGAACAAGGGCATTCCTGAAATGATCATGACTTACACCGAGTATCAATGAATTGCATTGCCCTTACCAGGAGTCTAAAAGTAGTGCCATTCTGTCGAATAGAAGTAGTTCTAGGGAAGGTGCTACATCACTACTTGCGATGGAGCGGAAGTGATTTCAGATGACTCACGAAACGGTCTGTAGCAACTGACGAGGATAGCAGAGGCAAGGGTGCCTTCCCGTCTATCCAAAGGAGCATAAAACTTTGGGTCTCCGGTTGACTTCCGCAGTCTATCGAGCGGATTGATCTATCACGCAAAGATAACAGGAAGGAGGTACTCCTACCTTCTTGCCTTCTTCTTCAGGATCACCGGGACGTACGTCTCAGGAACAAACTAAATTCAATTCATAAGTAAATCCATATCACCAAAAAACAATACAAACGCACTAAAACCAACATCAGCAACTCTACAAAAATCCAGCACAACTGCACGCGATATGTCCATTCCCAGTATAGGTGCTATCAGACAACATATCAAAACAAGGATCAAGGATCAGACCGGTGAGGGCTGACCTGATTGATGAATCTACATCATCACGTAATATCAGAAACAGTGCTTCAGAGGAACATGAAAAACGTACCCAGCAATCAAGGGACCAGCCACTGGTCCGATGAATGGAGATCTTCCAAGATGATCAGTTACTCCAATATACAACTTGGCCGTTGGCGTTGTTCAAGCAAGCCTACATGGTATACACAGCCATTGGACTTAGCAAATGACTCAGCAAAATATCAAATAGAGCACAAACCCACGGGCTCACTTTGCAATACTCGAATTCGGAAACATATCGCTCACACTTCCTCCGGCTACACTCAAAAATGCTGATCCGCAGAATCCAGTGATCAGGCGGAAGATCAAGAAAACAGCTGTTGTTCTATAGTAGATCCATCGTCTATTTTGGAGTAAATGTACTCACCAATGTTGGGAGCAAACACCACGGGGAATGTGAAGACGAAGAATAACGCATAAGATATTTCGTATACAGCATTTCGGCCTGCCTAACTTGTTGAAGGTATGGTTTTGGATCAAAACACCGGACGTACCATACACTTCGGACAACGGGCCAACGAGGAGCGGTCCAGTTCCGAGACCTGTCACAAACATACTAATTCCGAGGATGGTTACTTCATGTGGAACATGGAACGTTTGGGCGGCACCCAGTTCTGTGAACGCAGCCTGGAGCATGATCAGTTTCGACTCGACCAAAATGAGAGATAAGATGACTCACAATCGAAGAAGCGCAAGTCACGCACAGAGAGGCAGAGCTGATGATAAGGACCGCGAGCCAGCGTCTGAACGAGGACATGTTCTGCGGGTTATCCTCTGGCTCTAGGACGACGAGGTGTGGATCACATTCGTCATTTTTGGCAGAGACGTCGGTCTCTGTGGTGGCAGCATCCTGAGGCTGGGCAAATGACCCTTGTGATATCCTGGTCAACGCCATCATGGTACGACACAAGCCTTGGGATGAATAAAGTCGATGCTAATAATGTAAGCAGGTACGAAGTGGATGACTGATATATTTAACGCCGAATGTCATTGCGGAGTATTGTTGTAGCGGTGACGGCCGCCCAAGAGGTCGGCATGAACGTTTCAGCTGTGGGCCAGTGAACTTCTGTGACTAGATTGGATGAAGTCACGAATAGCAAAAGCATATGTCATCTGTGAGTGGCAATTGCAGTTGCTTAGTCCCCGGAACTAAGCATTGTGAGTGTGATGAATCGATTCAGCGTGTTCCCAGAACGTCCCGTGTCGAGGCTCATACAATGCTGGGGCCTGGAGGCATCCTAAATTGGTAACAGGAGCATTGATCATGATGTAACCAGGTCGGCGGGGGCCTGCCTCGTTTATCCGTTTAGCAATGCGATACAACCTACGTTGCGAACATCGTAATGCTGCAACTCACCGGTGGCCAGGTTCCAGAAGTGCCCTAGGCAGCCTGTCGTCAACATTATGATACAATTCCTCCCACAAGCAATGGGAAAACTAACCCAAATATGAACCTGGGATATTGTTCAGCAGGAAAAGTTGTAGTAAGCCGACCACATAGACTCAGAGTCGGAAAACGTCATAGTCGTGACTCATCTAGCGCCTTGGACAAACGCGGCGTCGTCCCGGACCGTCAGAAAGGTCCGGCCTACTCCATGGATAATTAGTAGGCGCGAAAGTGCAGAACATTAGGATGCGGGAAGATACGATGTCAACGCAAGCTAAATTGACCTGTCGGGAGTTCGGACAACGACAGAGGAAATAAATGAAATGATGCGTGGATGTCAAGTTGTACAATTGGTACGAACACAACTTGAAGACTTGTTTTCGCAGGCACTTTATGAATACGTCACCCAGGTTCCTCAACGTTCAACGCCCATTTTGCTTTGATGCATCAGTAATGCTTAAGCAATTTCTAGGATGCTCAAGAGTAGGTCCTGCCAGTGCAGTAAACATGCTGACACTAAAGATGAGACAGGAAGCATGCTAGAAGTTATGATTGTGTCAATTGTATATATATATGCTTATAATCCAAGTGACAAGAACGGCGGCTGGGGCGAGGTTCACTTCTTGTCTGTCAATTAGAGCATAGAACTTGGGGTCGCAGGACTTGCGCCGCAGTCCGAGGTTGCATTGCATGTCAGCATAGCTCAACACCACCTCAACAACTTTTCGTTCTAGAACGACGAGAACACAAGTCTCCGACACGAAATAGACCATGGCAATCAAATCGGCCATAACAAAAGAAGCCTTCGAGTCTGCTCACCAGGCCCAAAATGCAAAAAGCAGGCACAATTATATGTGATACATGACCATAAAACATTAATGATCATTTTGTGGGGTAAAGAGACCGACCCTGGTCGATGCGATCTGAAAAGTGGAACATAAAAACACATGCAGCCATTTTTTCCAAGGAAATACCGACATCTTGGTCAACATAGTCGGCAATCAGCGGGCTAGTGACTTATGGATTTGTGAATGGCGGCCTTGAACGTTCCTGACGGTTAAAATGACACCGCATGTCAGCGCATGTCTCACATGCCAGAGCATGCCAGTGGTGCAAAACCTACATGGGGCTGCATGTGCAGCGGAGGTTTACATATGTAGATAATGGGAGCCGGCAACTAGCTTTGTCCCCGGCCGAGACAGGTGCTCCTCCCAGAAGCGACTCGCGTAGGAGACTGACTCAGTATCGGTTTGAACAAAGGATGTTACTCATCATGTACCACCAAACAACCATGAACAGACTAATTACATGATTAGTGTTTCGGCGGTGCGCCTTCCAAAATATTATAAGCAAAGTCATGCAATAGTAATGCGCGTAACTGAACATACAACAGGGTCCGCATGTGAAACAAAGCTTAGAATTACAATGGCAAGTCCTCGGTGGATTTGTCTTCAGGCTCTAGGAGGACCCTGTCAGCCATGAATCATAACAGTGATGCTATGATGGCCAAAGGCAAAGATGTCGCCAGACAATTGTCTAAGGTTGGTGGATACGAGCATTTGCCTTGACCGCATTCCAGCAGAAGAACTATATTTGGGAGCAAGTTGCCGGCCATGCTGAGACCCTGCATTGACGCCAGGATGCCAATCTGATTGTTACGTTAACACTCAGCAAGGACTCGCGCATGAGCACCATAGACGATATGATTGGCGGACTCAGCTAAAGAACGCACCTCAAAATAACCCAATGATCAGTTGAGGCTATTCCAAATAGAGTCGGTAAAGCGTCTCACTATAGTTTGTTTACTGAAGCCGCCTCGGGTTGTTTAGCTCTTCTTGATGTCGAGACAGACTTTTAGACTAGCAAAAGCGTCCTGAATGGAGCGCTCGTCGCTGTTGAGAGTAGGAGGGAGCAATTCGGCTTGTGCTCGTGCGACAAAAATGATATTTTTCCACCGTTGAAATCAGCCGTTAACGGACTCCGAGCGGAGCGCCACGAAGCGTCGCTATAGAAAAGAGCCCACGGACAAGGAGTCATGATGCCAGTCAGAGAATATGATTGGCCGTAAAAACGTGAGCGCCCGATAAAAGCATCGTATTATCCTCAGGTTGAAGCCGGCGAGGTCGCAATCATTTACGTAGAAGCTCATTGTTTGATGCGCGGACATGGTGGTTAGCCTGATGAAATTAAATCGCCGATCTAAAACATGCCGGATATCCTCAGTATCCGAATAAGTTTTAGAGCAATTCGCTTTTCGTTGGTGGACGATTCTAGTGCGGATCATGATTCTATTTCATTCTTGCAGTCAGCTGGACCTAGGCGCTAGTCCTTTCACAGAGAGTGAACGGGGGACTCGTTCTAGAAGGGCCGAGCTTGCGATCGGAGCGCACGACTCTTTGATTTAATGGCGACCTTTATCACCAACTCCCACGAGATGTTTGTGTGTACCCTCATGGCTCCCAGCTGCTCTCATTGCCATCGCGTCCCTTGGAACACAATTTGATTATGACATTCCGCAGTCCAGTTAATGCCGTTGCGTGGAGTTCCTACGGAGAAATCTGATACCCCTTTCATATGGGACCTGTAAAAATACGTGTGAGTAGGCACTCGATCGTGTCTCGAATATTCTGGGTAAGCAGTAACGATACTTGTCCCCCAGCACGAGTCAACCTCGGGTTCGTGGTGGCGGACACGATCGACGTTCCCGAGTTTTACGTTGGCGTTCAAACGTTCACATTGTACATATGGCGCTGAATTGCAATTTCAGCGTGATCAGTAAACGGCACGTTCCTTGAACTATTCTAAATGGAATACTCAAGAAGCTGTAATTTTGACTTTCAGATTAGTTATTTGCCATCGCGATTAAGCTTGCTTGCCGTGGTTTGACGTCCTTGACAGCCTTTAGGGTTGCTGAGATGGTTTGACATTACTTTGCAATCAATTTACCGGTCAACAAACCACGCTTCGCTGCTCCGATTATTGTCAGAACGTTTCACCGGTTAGTACCCACTTCCTGGTAAATGTAGACGTCCTATTTCTGATAGATGGTATCCACATTGATCACCGCTCTCTAGACTGGTTCCCGCTGTGAACTATAGCCCGGTTCAGCTTAGCGCTTGCCACCCTCGTGCCCTCAAACAGTGGTTAATGGCATATGCATGGTGTCGGGAGACATTCAATCAAGCTGTAATTACAACTCATCTAGAGAGGTGTGTTAAATTTTCCAGCACTCGATGCTGTTGGATGCTCTGTCATAAGGAAATTCTCCCCCCCAAATTTCAACGTCCCTGGCACTTTCCTCGATACCCGACCATAGATTGCTTATCGCTTCTTGAGCAACCGCTGTATCGTTTCGTCCGCCTTCCAGTTCTTCTTTGCAACTCTGTCGGTATGCGGTTAGCGGACGATATGCGGAGGAGTTGTGTAACACCGACCTGAATAGCTTGGCTGATATCGGCATCGATGACTGCTAAAACATCTGCCATTCCACCATCCTCTTCCCACCTCAGGCCAACAGTTGCCTTTACGATAGACGAAAGGATACTCAGACTGGCGAAACCCATTCCAGCTCCATATAGAGAACGAGCGCGGGCGAGGGCATTATCTAGCTCTGGTGTGGGAATAGCATGGATACCGTTGTGACTAGTCGTGAATAAGCCGTTTGTTGTCGCTATACGTTTAGCACTGGTCTGACGTAGGCGGGATCGAGCTGCGGCTGTGAATGCGGCGGCAAGACTGGGTGTGCCGGTTGCAAGGAGATTCCGAGTGATTGCGCGCAAGCTGGTTGTAGTATCGTCAGTTTTCTGATGCGGCAGCCGAAGTGACGAGAGACTTGCTCATCTATCGTGGCATTCGCTATCAATGTGTCCACCTGTGAGAGATTAGGTGGGACTTGAGTGTGCCTTCAATGGACTAGCTTACCATCAAGTTGCTAGTAGTGACGTTCATGATATGAGTAGGTAGGGGGCTAAGAATGATTGCACTTACACATGTCCTAGTGTTTTGGTAGTCTCGTGTGTATGAACAGGTGCAACTTCAGGAGCGGGCATTGGAACGTGGATATCGATGAGCGCTGGTGATTGGATGTGAGGGAGGACACGAGATGTCGGACAGCTGGATCCGAACTTATTTAACACTTGCGGTGCATTATTCTCGGGCATCAGCCTAGCATCATTAGAAGCCAGGACAGGTTCCGCAACTATTTCGAGGTAAGTCAGATCATCATTCAATGACCGAACACAGGTTGACCCAAAACCTTTCGTATTGGTACGTACAATCGCGGTCGCGGTCATTTCTTGTTTTGCCGTGATTGTTTTGGAAATGATGCTAATTTCGTTTTTTGAGTCACTGTCAGGCTTAGCTAGCGCTTAGCCTCATCATCATTCCTTGTCAAGTCCATTGTCAACATGTCCTAAACGTATCCGAGTTCCTCCCCTTGACGCCCACTTATTAGGATTGGAACGGAGTTTGATAATGAAACATTATAATCCACTCATTTTCAATCCCGTTCACTCCTATCCCGGCTCCTAACCATGCAACGAACAAGACCGCAGCCCAAAGAATCTTTCCTTCTCGGTCCCTTCACCGTCCCCCGTGTATGGGTAGGTCTTTGGCAGCTGTCAAGTAACGCTTGGGGAAGCGCCTCGGCAGCAAAGATTCGTCAAGCAATGGCAAGACACGTCGAAATGGGTTACAATGCTTTCGGTGAGTCGCGAAATATCAGGTCATGTGTCTCTCTCTCTTCAAATATAAACGCCATTTTTGGCAGATATGGTACGCAATCCGTGCTTCTTGATAGGTTCTTCATATAAAACTGACTTTGCCGGTATCGACGTATAGGGTATGTTCGAATCTGCACTGCATTCACCATGAGCTGAAGCAAGATCTTGCAGCCGATCATTATGGAAGCGCGGAAATACTCTACGTAAGTTGTGTTCCTCGGTGTCACCCAGATCATCCATCGAATCGAGCTGCCGTTTTCAGGGGCAATTCAAAGAATCGCTACCAAGCACGGCGGATGCTGTCGGCGCTACAAAGTGGTGTGTATTCCGGCAAACGGTACCGACGCGTTCTATCGTGGAGAATGCCGTTCGGGAGCGTATGACACGCATGCGCGCGAATTCTGTCGACCTGTTGCAGGTGAGCAAGGGTTTCATATCCTTTTGAAGCAATCATGACCCCGGCCTTAGTTTCACTGGCAAGATTACTCCGACAAAGGATATCTCACCGCCCTCCAAATTCTTCAAGATCTTCAAAATGAAGGGCTCATCAGCGCCGTCGGCCTGTGCAATTTTGATGCCATACGAACAGATGAAATATGTACACAACTGGGGCCTGGTTTCATCGTTTCAAATCAAGTCCAGGTCAGAATCCCAAATCAATGCTTCCATTACTATTCTCACCATCATCTAGTTCTCCCTAATCGACACTCGACCCCTGCACGGCATGGCCGATGTATGTGAACGGCATAATGTCAAATTATTAACATACGGCACGCTTGTATGTGTATCGCTTTTCCTTACCCTGATCTCGGATCACTACACAGCGCTTGGCAGTGCGGTGGATTTTTAGCAGACCAGTGGTTGAATCAGCCGGAACCAGACCTCTATTCCGGTGTTTTGACGCCATCTCAGCGCAAGGTACGAATCTCCTGCTCCGTGTGGGTTGCCTGGGCGCATACGGCAAGTTCTCATTACCGTCCGTAGTATCTCGATATGATCTTGAAGGCCTGGGGGAGCTGGGCACTATTCCAGTCCCTATTGGCAGTGCTGCGTGATATCGGCGATCGTCATGGAGGGCTAAGCATTGCAAACATAGCCACGCGATGGGTCCTTGATCACTCGTTTGTCGGAGCTGTAATCATTGGTAAGGACAATCAATCTGTCCTCGAAGCGGAGATTTATTATTTTGGTTTACTCCAGGCGCCCGTTTGGGAGTATCCGAGCACATCGATGACAATGACCGTGTTTTTGGTTTCAGATTGACCGACGAGGACAACAGCGCCCTTGAAGCAGTACAAGCCCGGTCTAATGGTCGCCGTATGATCACCATGATAGGGGACTGTGGGGCCGAATACCGTTAACATGGCTGTACCTCTTGATGTCTATCATTTTATGTACAGCTATGCATCTTGTGATTGTGTGGTGTATCTTTGATGTGTACTCTTGAAAAGTTAGATCTGTGCACATCTAGGGATCAAAGCGCCACTGAGATATGATGCTCTATTCTCAAAATAAGAAAGATCTGCATGGTTGGGCAGGGTCTGATGGCATCCATGCCCAGCCTCCACATCATCAACGTTCTTCCATGTGATTGTTCAGACCCTCATCAGCATCAGTCCATCTCGTGAACACCAGTATCGCGAGACACGTCGGTTCTGTACGCCCGTCTTTGCTGTGTTGTTTAGCATGTAAGATCCGGAACTCGTGGAACTTCATCCGTTCTCTCTGGGCTTCGGAGCTTAACTTTTTTCCTTGCATCGCAATGATCTCGATGAAATGTATATATATGTATATGCGAGTGAGTCCCGGCTGCAAGGGCGATGCAAATGAATGATATACAGTGTCCGGGAATATTGTTTCACGAGTATTAACTCTGTGGTGTGTGAAATCTAATGACGCAATGTGTGCAAGATCGGAACAACAAAGTTCACCGATCAGAGCCTGTAACGAGGGTTGGATTATAGTTTGCTCATAGAATCGGCGTGTTTGGAAATCATGGTTGATGAAAGTCGTTGGATCGGCTGGAGCTTCTTCTTGACATCACGCAAAATTGCAGTCTTGGGTTGCCAGTCTCGGAAGGCATCTCGCAGGCGGATAAAATCATCTGAAAAGAGCTCGGCGACTCGTTCATCAGCAATGAGGTCACGGAGAGCCCAAGGAATCTAGGGGAAAGATTCATATTCATTGCGAGAAACAGATATGACAGGGAATAGCAAACCTCGTAGTCATTCTGTTCCACTCGCGCATCAAACGACTCCATCGCAAGCTCAACTTGTGAGTGTTGTCCAGAGTCGGATAGGAAAAGGTAGTTGATTGCGAATCTGCTTGCGGAGTCAATCACACGCATTGCTAGAAGAATAGTACTCACGAATATGTCGCAGTTTCTTCGTATGCGGTCGAATGTCCAACCCCATTCAGCGATCCAGCGGTTGATTCCGACAAATGAGCAAGGAGTCCACCATCTGATAGCCCTGCATTTCGTATACGTAGCAGGAGAACGAGAAGATTGGACAGAAAATCTGAAGAACTAAAAAAATTGCGACGTGAGCCTAACTTGCGTAAGATGAGTGACATTTCTGACACGCACTGGTATGCATCTCCATCAATGTAAAGCGCACGCAAAATCAAGGGATGCGTCACTGAAGTGAACAGCCCAGAGTACAGCCCTACTACTTGATCATTCAAGGACGCAATATACACCATCTTGACCTATTAAAGGCAACGTCGTTAATCTGACGAATGATCAGCCATGGGTAAAGTGCATACTCCATTATCCAGGACGTTTCTCAAAGCCTTTACGTAGTCTCTTGAAATCTGACTGTCCGTATCCTGGTGGTGGCAACGCAATTACCTAACAACGTCCCACTTTATGCCACTAACTTACCTGAAATTCGAACAGTTCCCGGGCAGCAATCGACTCGAAGTACTAAGTTGTCCTGTATAAACTTGGGTGCCCAGCGGGATCGCGTGACTTACCTGGATATAAGGTAGGACTAATGAGCTCGTGCTCAGATATCTCAGTGGTCCAAGGTGAATTCCGCACAGGGCCAGACAACACACCCTTTGTGGAGGGCGTGTGATGCTCGTGCTACCAGAAGCAGCAGCAATTGCGGTGGCAGTCAAGTCACGTGGGGCTGTTCGGATGTGCCCATCGGCGATGAGGCGATCCAAGATGTGAGTCGAAACGATTGATCCCTGGGAATGTGAGGCAAAAAAAATTACATCGGCATTCTGGACGTCTTCCATCCATTCCTTATTCCCGATCAGGTTCTGATACAGCCTGTTTTCACGAGGTGGTCGTGTGAGCATCAGAGAGATCTTGTTGGAAAAAAAGTTGTCCAGAACGTACTTGTCCACTCGGCGGCTGATGGTGCCCTCGCCTTCCAGGGGTATCTTGGTGATTTTCGAGAGCTTCACGTTGTGCTTATCTTGAAATTCTTCCAACGCCTGAACAGCCATGTTCACAAACTTTGAGCTTGTCCCCGTCGGCTGCATAAGGATCAGTCAAACTGTGATACAAAAAACCCGACCATGTACTAACTTCGCCGATAACCGTCCGCATGACAGCACCTTCGGATGCTGCGTATGAGCAAAATGCGTCTACCAATGAAACAATTAAGACCGCACCAGGGAACCACCCGTGTACGCCAATCACAACTGCCCTTTGACACCCTCGCAGCACGTCCCGATGTTCCTGTCCTCCGATCACATCCCACGAACGTGGGAGCGCCTTTTCATAAGGTTCCAAAGGCCTCTCCCGAGCCTTTCCTTTGCCGATCTTGTGTACGGGAGTCTCATCACGCGCAAAGAGCACATCGCTGACATATTGGAATGTCTTGGAAAGGGCAGATGGAGGCAGAGCAGGCATATGGGCGCGAGGCTGCGTATGGAAAGTATCTTCCCAAGTAGGCATGACCAAGTTCGGTGTAGAAGGGACTATGGGCGTCCTTATCCCTGATTTCTTCGAGGGTGTCGGAGATGGTGGGCGCTTGTTGACGCCACGCCGGACGGCGTCTGATATATTCACCGAACCATTAATTGAAGTAGATTTGTCTTCGGGTTTCTTATGAGCTGGAGATGACGAGGAAGGAGAAACATGTGGCACACCCGTCAAACCCGGAGATGGTATGTTGGCGTCCTTGTTCAACGGAGCGGAACAGGTGGCCGATGATGGAGAGCCAGCAGGCAGACTAGCTTCATCTTCGTCCAAATCCATAATTTCCATTTCTCCATTGTGACTTTCATTCGTAATGCTCTTCATCGCCACCGCCCGAGCAGAAAAAAAGGAGATCCATCCCGATCTGTTACTGGGAATCGTCGATGATATCGGATTTGCTTCGCTAGCAGGAAGTTGTTGCTCCGGCAAAGGGGGAACAGCGGTGGCCGCCTGGTTCAAATGTTCATCATCGTGGCTAAGCTCCGACTGTACGTTCCCTTCTCCACCGGAGACAACTTGAGTATCCGAAGGAGAGGTTGTGAATATCACAGGCGTAGACGAGCCTTGGTACCACGACCACGGAGAATACCACGCAGAGCCTTGTGATTCCGGTGCGTCAGTGGACAGCACGGAGGGGGCCTTCTGTGATGCGATCTGCTCCTCGGTACAATGTTCCGATTTCTGAGGAACAACGGTCATAGACTCGACAGTTGGCTGTGCTGCCATCTCACCGACTGGAGGCGGCAGTGCATCGGAAACGACCGGTGAGATTGTGGGAGCGTTTACAACTGGTTCTGTTTGTATCTGACTCTCAGACGCTTGAGCATTACTCCATCCGAGATATGTCCACCATGTGCTTGTCTGCGCGTCAGCAACCTCAGTGGCACCCTTGCAAACAATTCCCTCAGGCTGAGCTATAGTATCTGCCGTGGTATTCACCTCGGTCACCTCTACGACCGGAGCAGAAGGTTTCTCAGCAGCGAACGGTACGGACTCTATCAAACAATATGTTCAGTAATCCCGCTAATTGCGCGTGGAGGGTCGTAACAGACCTTTCGCAGCTGAATGTTGCTTGCAAGACGCAGATGACTCTGCTGGTAATACCATAGTTCTGATGTCATCACGCTGAGCTGCAGCAACAGTCTGTTCAAGAGGGAGCTTTGGTCGTCCGAGTAAAGGAATGCTCAGTGTAAACCGGCTAGTAGATTGATTGAGCGTCAAATTGGATTGTGATGCATCGCCGCTTTGCAAAATAGCCGACGGAGTCGCTGGAGACAGCTTAGCGGGCGAAAGTTTAGGCACGTTCTCGTCCAGCGGCGAGAGTATGGAGGCAGTGCCGGGTCGCGAGTGATGACCTGCCGGCGACGAAGAAAACGGATATGATGCCGAACTGGGAGAAGGGGTGGGTAGATCGTTTGAACGTGATTTCGTAGGTATATCTTGTGGAAGGGTTGAGGTTGGAGTGCTTTGTCCGGCATCTCCAGGTATATTGAGAATAGGTAGTTGATGCGGAATTGAAGGAATGGCGGGGGGTTGTGAATGCGGGGTTTCCGATGATATCGACGATCCCTTCGCGAATGCCTGTACCAGGGTCGTGAGACCGGTCGTCTCGATGCCAGATTCAGGGGATTGTTCCACTTTTGCTCGGGTCCACGAGGCGAACCAAGAAGACTTTTGATACGAAGTTGCAACGGATGTATCGGGAGGAGGGATAGGGTTAGACGGAGCAGATGCTGTTAGATCTACGGAGATCACGGCTGGACCTGACTGTACGAGCGACGTTGCGTTCTGGTCAGGCGGTCCAGGCGTAGAAATAGATTGTGAACCTGAAGATGATATGCCACATTCAGAAGCGGGAAAGCATGAAGATATGAAAGAGTACCTTCTACTACCAATGGTGAGGTACATTGAGCATGAGTGGTCGACGCTTCAAGTTGCTCTGTTTCGTGGGCATTGGTGGGCTGGTTAAAAGGAGCTGAGACTGGCATCTCTTCTAAAGATTGCTCTGACTGATCCTTTGCCATTGAGCTTAAGGTGGGATTGGGATTAGCTTTGCGCAAAATCTGAGGTAGCTTCTCTGCTGCGGTTTGGGACGACGAAACCTGCTGTGCTTCTCCAAAGACCAGAGATATGGAAGGAATTGAGGATTTCTTCGTAAGGATCATGCGTTTCCAGCGAGGGTGACGAGGGCGAGAGTTCATGCGAGAGAGCTAATAGATTATGGCGAGTCACTGGAACATCGAACAACGTTTGTGGCAAGTGTGCTCAGAGACGTAACACCAAGACACGCACTCCAAGAGCAGCTTTCCTATTACAGCCATTAAAGTAAGCCACACGTGACGTATCACGTGATTAGCCACGTTAGTCTTCGACGACTCTTATTTGACTCTTATCCACTCTTTTTACTGCCAGACTCCAGTGCAAGCTTGAAGCTTGACTCGATTCTGGAAATTACTCTGGACACCTTTCTTTGGGTGTGTTCTTGCCACACAAGGAGAGGACCGCCACAAGTTCGTCACTCAGGATATCGATATTATGCACGGAACTCCGGGACCGCCTGTGGACACTGGAAGATGGCCGAGCGACTCAAATTGATGTGCGATACATCATGATGGACTCGTAAATCGAGTAGGAATGCAAACGTCTATGCGATTACTAGTTGCTCACTACGCTGAAAGAAGCATTTATCCATCCTGTGACTGCATCACTCTATTGACCGTCTTTGGAGGTCACCAGTGACCATACATGCTGCCTCCAGCAATCTCACTTGGGGCTCGTCCATAGTTCGCATGCTGAAAAATGAAGGCTCTTTGTAGGCACATCCAGAAATACTTTACCACACCATGTTCCATGGCCATCACCGCCTGTGTCGACAGGATATGCATCGACTAGGAAGATCTCATGCTCTACACAATCCATGGGCCTTTTTTCTATCATACATGCCCTCGATCGATATATTGAAGATGGTATCTGCGTGCGAAGGTAACCGATTAGCTTCCGTCCCTTATTCAACCTCACAACAATTATCCTGCAGCTACGGAAGTGAAACTTCTGAAATCCGAACCATATGAACCCCTCTCCGTGCTTTTGCTAATCGTTTCGCATATCGACTCTGTCTAATGGTGCTACTTACAGTCTGGGACAAGAAGTTTGCAGAGCTGGATTGGTGTAATTGGGGAGACGAAATGCTTAGTGGTGGGTCAACGAGCGTCAATTGGGTTATGTGAGTTAAACCCGGCGTAAGGATCGGAGCATGGTCAATTTTCAACTTCAGATTGTCCCCGGAATAAAAGTTTTATGATTTCCCCAACTAGATCCATGCGTCGATCTCATCAAACAGCGGGCGGTTAGGCACAAGATGGTTAGACGATCGGAGCTAAATGCACTGGCGGTGCCAGTATGCTGGTCAAAACGGCCTACCATGCTTGACTGATACGGTGATGTATTCGCGCATCAGAACAACCATCTTTTCCCTGTCAAAGGTGTCAACGACTGATGTGGAGCTGCTGTAACAACTGTGTTGACCCTGTTCGAGTGTCGTGAACGTTCCACCTCGGCTGTGCTTGTTGTGACAGCCTGCGAAATGGGATACAGTGATGAGGACCTTGATGCGGGAGTGTAGCGCAGGGTGGTAAGCCTGCTTACGCGGATTTGTTGACGCGGCGGGGCGGAAAAGTTGTTGTTTCGATCTGGACACACGGTCAGTCACGCGTTGTAAATTCAGGACTGACATTGTTAAAGAACCCGCACTGCAATCCTGTGTTTTCATTGCGGCGGCAACCATGGGATGAGTGGAATCATGTACTGTGGAGGTGTACATTCAATATCCGGGGTGGACCTTCGTGAGCGCTATCCTGCAGGTCACTGGGAGTCGGTGCATGTACGGGTGTGAGTGCGAAGGATGAAGGAATCTTGTGCGCACGCTGTACACTCTTCCACGTTGAGGAATTGACCATTTGGATACGAGCGAGTTTGTTTTTACAGCCAGTCACGATCACAATGAGTTGGTCATGATCCACAGACAATATCAGGGTGTTCGAGTGGCTTGTCGGTGTGTTCGAACGCAGTGGTCAGGTCACAAAGCGGGTCGTTTTTGTTACTTTAGTGACGTATGTAGTAGCAATGGATGATATTGATTGGAAGAGTTCAGCATGCGCGTGACACGACTTGGAACTGTGTGATAATCGACGATCTCTCCAGCGGCATCCTAACTGAAATTCGAGTGTTGTTCTTCCACTGACGAGACCGAGACTCACCATCTGAATTCTGGAGTGAACATGCGTCGGACGACTTTCAAATTAACACCCTCTATTCTATCCTTAACAACCACAACCCTTTTCTGCTCGTCGCTGCATTCCAGACGATGATCTGCTGGTCGGGGAGTATAACGCCAACAGCTTGAATGCAGTGCTGCCTACGTCAATCTCATGTCAAGCCGCCCACGTAGAGTGGTCCTAGGACAATGTTACCGGTCTCTCGAGTCCGCCACATGCATAGCACCGTTAACATTTCATCCGCTGATGACTTTGAAAATCTGTTGCCGTTCGATGCAAACAAGATACTCGAGTCCAAAGCCCATACCACTCTCGTGTGCCTTTGACAAAATCGACTGCGTCTTGTTTATGGCCACTTCGTAGACCAGGATGCTTCCGCCCCACCCTCCGCTCCAAGCCAACGCCCATAAGCGCTGACGGGATCCTGCAGTCGTCAAGAATCGTCATCGTGACCCAACAAGGGCTTGTTGCCCATCGTCTAGATCTCGCAAATGTCATTCGAGAGCATTCGAGCCTCATGTTTCTTTTGAGTGGGCGAGGGCTGGGCGAGGGCGAGGGCGGGCTTGGGAAGATGTACCGTCTTTATGAAAACGGGATGGCGTCGACTCTTGTTCTGTTTCTCCGCCAGTGGGAGAGTTGTCCGTTTAAATACGTTACAGGTGGTACCGTCCTGAGGTGGAGTTCTTTCTATTCGTTCCTCATTAACGCCAGACATTTGAGGCCACATAATAGGAACTGTTATTTCGGTGAAATGCAAAGTAACTCATCCATGCGCGTGGAATCCTTTGTTTCCGACGAATAATACCCCGCCACATTTTCCCCCCTGCGATGATATCTAAAACACATCAGCCCGATTGTCCCTCGTCCTCCACCGCGATTGGGCTCAGGTACGAAAGCATAGAGCTGGTGCCAATGGCTTTAGGATTGCAGTTTCCAGCTTCGCTACAGCCCATCACTTGACTTTGGTAGGCACACAAGTCGTTGGGCCATATAGATCTCTAGTCTCCCGTAGTCAGACCTTGATAGAATGAAGACAGTCGTTCCTTCCATTTCAAGGTCTGCTAGTTTTGGCAGCCTTTTTACCGGTGGTCAACATGTTGGTCGTCAAAATCGTCGCTTAACGATGCCGGATGGTCGGCATGCTCGTTTTTGAGTCCGCGATGACAGGTGCCATATGGTGCGCAACAACCCCATAGGAGATGGACGATAAGATATACTTTCTGCTAGTAGTTGGCTAGAGCTAGTACATGCTATGGAGAATCATCAATACTCTCCTCCTTTCGAATATACACCCCACTATGTTCCAACTAGCCCTCAACAGCTCGAACCGCGCTACTCATCTCCTACCATATCGAACCAGGGCTTCTTTTCTCCTGGCGTGTTTTACACACCGACACCATACTATCGTGATGTCCGAGTCCTGCAAGCCCACAGCCCATGCACACCTCACGTCCAGCGAAGACCCACAAGTCCGAGTCCTCCTAGTGCACCATCTCACAAAAGGAAGAGACCACACGATGAAAACTTACCACTGACTCCGTGCCGTCTGCCGTCCAATGCCCAAAAACGCGTCCGAAAAGAGTCATCCTCATGTGCGGAATATATTCAGCCTGCGGATTTAACATAAGTACTAAGTCTTTGGTGCAGTTTCCGATATGAATGAGCCGCACACGCCCAAACCAAGGCAGACAGCGCTAGAGAAGATTGATGCCATTCTCGATCTCCTTGCTGTGTGGCGCTGGACATTAGGTGACCTTTTGTACCATTTGTTTCGACTAAAGGATGAGCAAGATGAGGACATTAAAGGACGCTCACGCCGGCATACCGAAAAGCTCGAGAAGTTTGTGCGAGGGGAGTCTGCTCGGGGCGTTGGGTACATCATTCATGCATGGCTCAATAGCCCGTACACGAAGGTCCCTGCAAATTCACCAGACGCTAACCTTACCTATCAGCTAGAAACACCATACGAGGAGATCAAGCCCGCAAAGGCTGCACTCACCTCATTTGCAGCACAAATTTTGACGGACGAGCTTGTCCGAGAGGCAGAAAGTGCCGTGAAGCCTACAAGCGGCTTACACTCCATGTTGCCGTCGAAATCGAATCCAAAGGAGAAGGAGTGGGCCGACATTGGTGCTACAACCGTGGAGAAAGTTAGTGCAATCATACAGAAACACCAGCCACTCACCTGGCATTATCTCACCACTATTGCTTCGCGAGAGTCACGCAAACGTTCTGGAGAGGTGAGCGTTCGAAAAAATCGTCCTGTGGATCTCGTAAGCTATGATGATAGTGTGACATATTCCAGCATGTCAGCGACCTCGCACTTCAAAACAATCTTCCGGCCCTTGAGGATTTAGAAGCTGCCGCGAAGAAGATGCATCGCTCATACTCGAGTACCAAGGCACTTCATCGAGCACTGTCCAATGTGGAACGAGATTCTGAATGGTCCAAAGTGGTACCGCTTGGCACACCGTGGATTTCGGACGACGCAGGAGAAGGACCCAGTGGCCATTACGAGGGTGACCTTGTTCTGGCCAAGTCTGTTGCATTCATGCGGGATGCATTGATGTCACGCGAGGCTGCTTATGCGGTAGCCGAGGGTGATGTTGGACGCATGTATGAGGCTATCAAGGTAAACTCTCTTGTCGTGTCAGGGTCGTGTTCGCTAATACGTGAGGCATTCACAGAACATGCTATTCACATTTGCTGGTTCCTCTCACAGCAAGTATGTGACATACTTGCTAGAGACCATCACCTGCCTTGAGTTGGAGGCTAGTCCAGAATTGCGCGAGACTATGTTGCGTGCCAGTCTCGTGAATGTATCTGGGCAGGCGGGCTCGTTTTGCGCCTTAGACTTCATGCAAGAATACCTCAATCGCCTACTCGAGGCCATTGTCCAACGCAAGGGTGTTGACTATGGTGACACGTATATCCGCGCTACCATTTCCCGAAATCTACATCATTTCAGTCGCATCAAGAAGGAGCTTAGAGGTTTGGTAGGCCTTCAAGTGCGGAGCGGACGACATACTGAACCACACACTCGTCCTGAGGTGTCCATTCTCCTCGCTGAATACAAACAGAGTCAGCTTCACAGCCGACGTCCAGGGCGCAACTACGGGGGGTATGACAAGAAAATGGGCTATGATGACTTCGAGCGCGGTGTTGAACACTTGCGGAATGGCAAGCTGCGCACATTCGTTGCAGACACTACATTGGGCCGTGGCTTGATGACTGGCCTCGAAGAATCTGTTGATGCTGCGATGGAGTTGGATACCAACTGCGAGACACAGTGGATGGAATTGGGCAATATATTTGTGGAAGAAGGTGAACTCGTTGTCGAGACTGACCGTGCTGTGCTCGAATTGTAGTAGGTGCTGTTAATCTACAATTGAAATCCTGTCACGCCTGCAAAATTTGTTCTTAATGCAGGATCAAGTCATGCCTTGCATAAAACATACCTCGCGCTGATCAACAGCTTGATTGGTTGGGGATCGATGTCAATGCCCTGGTCCTCCGCATCAATGTCCTCCTCTTCTGCATCTTTGGCCGCACGACGAGCAAGCCGTATCTCCGCAAGCCGCTGAATCCGTATCAATTCAAATTCATCACGAAGCTTGTAAATGCGCTCGTGCAAGCTATGGAAATATGTGGCCAACCACGAGAGTTCACTGACGTGAGGAACAAGATCTTCAAGTGTCTCCAGTTCGAAGAAATGGTCGAGCAAATTCTTGATGGACCGGTCAGGTAAGAAAGTCGTTGGTGGCAAAGCACCTGTGGTCTTGTCATCGGCCGTGTCCCAGGCATCACGACGCCATTCTTTAAGCGCTTCTACCCCATGTGTACGCATCGCTTTGGTGATGCGTCTACATGGCACTTTCTTGACAGTCTCATCGTCGGTGCTTCCACCAGGCACGTGGTCATTGTCCCTTGTTGGAGACACAGACTCTGCAAGCTCTGGTTGACATGAAGGGCCCGAACAACTACACGGTGATGAGCGAGTTGGAGACGGATGTATTTGACAGGTTGTACATGAGCATGGTGGGTCATCTTGTGGGTTACCGAAGATTTTGTCGAGTTGGTTTATCTTGCAGTCTGCGAGGATTATTGATGCCATTGCAGGATCCATACTGGTCTTCGCATCGCTTCCAGGACCCTGGACCATGCCTTCGGCTGCAGCTACAGCACCAGCGGTAACATAGGTGATGTAGCGTGGATCATTTGCTCCCTCTCTCGGTCTAATCCTCCCGCCTTGTTGCAGCCACTGTTCTACATCAACCGGCTCCCCAAATGCTATGATGTCATCGAAGGCTGGCGCATCCATGCCGACAGAGAAAATCGCGGTGGCAATGATGATTTGTGCGTCAGGATCGCCATCTCGGAACATCTTCAAGGTTTGATCATTATATGTCTTCCAATTCAGGGCATTGAACATGCGTATGCGTTTGGCACGATGTGGTCCAGCCTCGGGCAGTCTGAAGAGATGTGATTGGACGCGGAAGCCAAAATGAATGGTATTGCAGAAAATGACCTTTTTGCGACGGTCTGCGAGCACCCAGTTGAGTTCGGGAAATTTGATGCCACCGATGCTCGAACGCATGGTTCGAAATATAATGTGTATGTCATGTCGCAAATTGGATCGTCGAAGGATGTGATATTGACCCTCTTGAAACCCCAAGACTTCAAGGATTCGTTGGGTTGTTGCACCTGTGCGGACAGTGGCGGACACACCAATCATTGGCACTATGTTTCGCAGCCGTGAACGGACGACACCGATCTGCTCGTAATCTTTTCGAAAGGACTTTCCCCAGGTCACGACAAGGTGAACCTCGTCAACTGCTAGCATGCATATCCGTGAACTGAATTTCGGACTATCTAAGACACCGGCAAATCCAGATGACTTTAATAGCTCTGGTGATACGAGCAGAACATGATACCCTTCAAGAGCTTCCTTGAACAAGTTCAATGCCTTCTTTCGAGCCATATCGAGCGTGTCGGCGTTGATAGCGAGGGCGGTGAGTCCTGCTTTGATCATCTTTTCTGCCTGACGGACATATTTAGTATGACGTCGAAACATCGAACGCACAGTGAGTCGGTGGCTTACCATCTCCTCCTCGAGAACTTTTGTTGGACAGACCACAACCATAGCAGGATGTCGTGGAAATTTGGTACCAGGTGCAAGGCTGGGGTTTTCGGATATGGCCAAGACAATGTGCATGAGCCGTATGAAAGTATCAGTCTTGCCTGTACCTGTAGCGGTACACATGAGTACATCTTGTCCGTCGAGTAGATGAGTGATTGCTGATAGTTGGAAGTCATGCGTGTCGTGAGGCATACATCCTTGTAGAATCTGACGGCAAAGATCAGCGCCGTCAGTAGAGGTGAACTTGAACGTGCTCGTCATTGATTTTCACGCTATACTATGTGTATGTCTAGTAGTACTATCGAAGTTGTCGCTTATCGCTCGCTTGTCTGAGTTCGGCACATGGCGGCACGTCCGGCTTGCGCGGCATCCTCGGAATTTTGACCCGTTAGCGCCGAAGTGTTGACCACCGGTAAAAAGCCTGCCAAAAAATGCAGACTAATAGATCTCTGTGATCCTCTACTAATTTCCAGTGGCTGCCAACGTAGCTTTCATCGATCCCGCCCACAGTGCAGCCCACATCATTCTCATTTGGTGCAAGCCAAGTTGACAACGTACTGCAGATCTCTCGGGAATTGATCGCTCGTACCAGACGACATTATTTACATCTGGTATCAGCCCATAGTGCTATATAGATACATCAGTATACTACTATAGCCCTAAAATAGGGATACATCAACCAGTCTCATTATCTACTGTCCAACATGATGTATCACTGGATACATCCAAGCGTGACTCGTCAAAATGGATTCTCAGCGCTTCCTAAACCTAATTTGGGGGGGTTCAATGCCATATATTGTACCTCCACCCCTCCTGGGGGCTTCTTGACCGATCTGGGTGGGTTCTTCTCATCCGGCGGCTCACATTGAGATGGATCTGGGTCGGTTTGGTCCATTAGAATGATGGAGAAGCAATGGTCATTGTGCCTGACTGGGGTAGACTTCAACGACGAAAATTCCAAGGTTTCTACGACCCCCATAATTTCACGTGACCCGTTCCAGAACGGATCTCCTTATATGGTGTTTCCTCGCGCCCTGCAATATGTTGTGTTTTGATTCGTATGTTTTTCATTTCTATACAACTAGCTAGCGTCTACTTTGTAACTCCTTGAGTTTGACTATTAAATGAGTATATAATAGATGGACCACTGCGGTGTTCATTCAACCTTCCCAAGTCTTATTGTCACGTGACAGTGTGTGTTCGTGGCACGCTCGCATTGAAGTTTGAAGTGGCGAAGTGACTCAGTGCATTTTTGAAGTGGTGAAGTAACTCAGTGCATTGGTAATTGACGGAATATATATGATTGTATTATTCAATAGCTAATTACGCTGAATATACAAAGATAAGAGGTAACAAAAAATGAGGCAACAAAAAATGAGGCAACAAAAAATGCGGAGTCCATTGGTCCACTGAAGAGTTGCAAAATGTAATGCGACATCATACCTTTTGTTTCCTGTTTGAAAATGTAAGTAACCAGGCGACACAGATGGAAGTAGTAGGACCTTACTTCTGTTTGCGACTGGACGTACTAGGTTCCCGTGCCGTGGCATGCTTCCCGGAAACAGTCAGTGCATTTTCGCCAATGCTATTAGCGGCAGCATTGCGCTTGGAGGGAATGGACACCCGACCAGTCCTACGGCGATGACAATGTTCGTTGCCATCAGGGGAGGGTTCAACACCACTGGTAGACAGCGCATTTGACTGGTGCGGTAAGGGTTGCGTTGTTGTCTTGGCGATGACTGGTGTGTTGGAAGGGAGTCCAGGTAAAGTGGAAATGGGAGGGGGTGAGGGCTGTAATCGTGGCTCCATAGGACTCGCTGGCTGAGAATCATGGTGCGGGAACTGCGCAGCCTGTACTGGAACCTCTGGAGATGCAGGGAGTGGGAACTGCGCAGCCTGTACTGGAACCTCTGGAGATGCAGGGACCATATGGGATGAGGTAGCAGGGGATGTGTGACATATGGTGTGCGGGATATGCGGCAGCGGCGCTGGAACATCGGGTGATTGTGGGGTTGGGGAAGATGTAGACTCTGCATGTGGGTAAGGAGGCAAGTGCGGCAAGGCCGGATTGTCACCACCTGACACCTCAAATGCTGCGACCTTGGCAGCAAGATCGGTCCAAAAAGTGTCGTCGAGATTCCAATCGCCAGTCAAGTTTTCAGAAAAATCAAGTGAGCTCTGTTGAGCTGAATCAAACGGCAGGTTGGTGTCTGGACCACTAGTAGTACTGCCGGACGTATTGGAAAAAGTCTGACCTGATTTGTCAGCATCCTTCATTCCGCTTAATGCCGAGTGATTGCCATCAGATGATATATCCGATCGTCGTTGGGACACATCCTCCAGACCCCTTCCTATCTCAATCTCATTCCACAACAACACAGGACTCTCGTTCAACGATGCGGGACCCTCAAGCTCGTTCAACGATGTGGGACCCTCGTTCAATGACGCGGGACTCCCTAGGTGTGCCCTTGAATCCACCAGATCGGCTGTTATGAATGAGTAAGTCAATAGTTTTTTCAGTGCCATGCAACTCACGATATACTCGATACAGATGGTCTCTGAATGGAGACATGATACCTGTTTCAAACTCAGGGTATGCCTTGCTGAAGTCATTTCCGAACTTGGTGTGACCCACGTGGAAACTTTGATTGAGGTCAGTGTTTAACTCTATTTCATAAGTACTAATGCACATGCCTATAGACGTCAATTGAGCCGCTGGACTCTGGAGAAGGGCCACCCGCCAGGAGGGAGAATGTGAACCCAGTGGCTTCCGCTAGCCCCTTGAGGAACTTGTTAGCAATAGCGGCAAGTTTTTCTATATTTCTATGCGGTCTCATAAGCTGATACACATCATAGTCGATAGGCTGTAAATTCTATTACCTTGCATAATCATCTTCGCTCCACGTTCCCGCCTCATTGTCCTTCTGCGTCCGAGTCTTCTGATTCTCGATGTATCTCTGTACCTCCGCCTTAACCTCATCAGTCTCTCCGCTATAGAGGCTTGCTGTGTGCTGCTTCACGATGGCGATACGCTTTCCATTCGTAAGTGTCTTGTTTTCTGCTTGCAGTAATTCTGCTTCAGCTTTCAGTACTTCGTCAGCTGTTGCCTTGATACGCGTATGGTAATAGAGCTTGGAATATGCCTCCACTTCCTGAAGGGAACGTGTTGGCTTCTCGGATTCGGCGACACTCCGCAATACGACTTTGAAGACATCTGTAGCATCGGCCTTTGCTTGCCGTCCTGCTTTCGTTGTACCAAGACTATTTTTGAAGCGGTTTCTTAATTTCTAAGTCCCATTTGTGAATTCAAAGTGAGCGTTCACAATTAACACATACCTCTTTTCGCTCATCACAAGCCTTATGCATCACAAGCATCTCATCTTGGGTCAATGGTCCAACAGGGGGTAAACTAGCCGGCCTTTGCTCTGGGTATGCAATGAACCACGTCTCGTTCAAGTCGGCGAAAAAGTTCGGCCAGTTTTTATTTTTTTCAGTTTGCTTTGCGCGGTACTTGTCGTACCAAGGAGCTAACCATTCATCCTGTTCAGGAGAAGTCCATTTCCGGGGAGCCATAATCTATATCATTATTCGTTATCAACAAGTACCGCCTTCTGGAAAAACAATTCACGTACGTACCGTTATGGCGCTTATATGCGTGTGAGGGGGGAAATTAATTAGCAAACTCTCGAAGAAGTTTAGCCTGCTATTGTGGCAGTATCTCACGCACAGACCCACAAGGTAGCGAGTACAATCTTTTACTGTTCAATTACATTAACTACCTACTTAGTGTCCCAGAGCGTCTGGAATATAAATTTTTTGTCTGCATATCGCTGGTGAAGATCCATCCCCGACACCAATGCGCAACAAAAAACATCTTCCACAGCACGAATCACTTCCTTTGCCTCCTTGGATGCATCAGATGCCTTAAGAAATTTTGGGCTCATGCCCTCGCGTCCTAATATATGCTGTTCTGTATCGTGCAACTCCTCGACAATCACCTCTAACGCAGATAGTGTCCCTCGAAGCCCATCTAAGTCACCAGTCTCGAGGTGGTTGCGTACTAGAGCATCTATCACCTGTGCAGGTGGTCCATCTAAGTACCTTGATAAGCGATCCCTTTTGTTGCTGTATAATTGAATATTCGATCGTGGCAAGGGAATGAAATTAGATCAAAACTCACGCGGACTTTGTTTTCTGGTGGCAGGTGAACATGCTGTGAGCCCTGATTGTCGTAAGGATCGATCATATGATGGTTGATATCACTATGAATGACCTCTGAGATATGTGGGTGAATAGATATCAACAATACACATACCTGTTAACTTTTTTTGAGGGGAAGACTGGGGCAGCTCGTGCTTCTTGGTTTTCCCGATACTTTCACTTTGAGTCTCGCACTGATTGCAGCTTTGTTCCTGGCTTGAAAGTGAGTAACATATATTAATAAAAAGACGAGTGTTGTGGATTGACCTTGCATAGTGTGTCCGTCGGTGCATCCGTTTGGCCTCTTGACGTTCTTCTGGAGTGTTATAGAGTTTGGGCCGACCCATGATTCAAGGTTGTAAGTGGCTAAGAATCACGTAGTACATTTGGTTCATACCTTGTTGGACTTTTATAGGGCTTTTACTGGCTATATTGCTAACACCAAAATTCTCAACTCAAAGCTTGAATTTAAATGTGGGATCACAGCGTGCACGGTCTTTGCATGGTGGATTGCCTTGCTTCAAACTACATAGACCAAGATATATAGGTAATGTAACGATTTACAATCATAATAGGTTTAGGTCAGGGAATTGAAATTCGACGCAACGTCCATCAGTGGTCCCACAACAGCCTGAGCAACCATACATTTTACGAGCACGTTTTGGACGAATTGACGCCCACAACATCCAGCTTCTTAGTTCCTATCTGATGGTCAATCATCCACCGCAATCATTGAATGAACTATTGACTGACTTGTTTCCTTGCCTTTTCAGCTGCAAAAAGTTCCTTCTCTTCACTTTCAGTCAATGCATCCTCAGCTGGACGTTCAGGCCATAGCAAAGCCTGCTCAGGCCATTTCAGCAGCCATTCATCATTCAACCGTGCCCAGAAGACAGGTTCCTTGATGCGTGAAAGTCGCAGTGTGTATTCGGTTAAGCGTGGCATCAACCACGTGTGTTGCTCTTGCGTCGGTTGCCAATCTGACATCTGGGTTAAGTCCAACGTGAGCTCTAGCTCAAATGATATCTCATGATCCATACCTTTTCAGAGACTCGGAGTTGGAGTATAACAGGATTGTGCCGAAGGGACCGGCGAGAAGTTGTGCAGTTGGATCATTTGAGAGGTGCGTTCATTGTCCATTTTGATACATCGTTGAGTTTGGTTCTGTCCGCTTGGATACATCATGAATGAGCTCACTGTATCATGGTGGCTCAACAACTGTTTGGCTTGATAGTTGGAGTGTGCCGTGACTGATGGCTGGTCGTCCCAGCAAAAAACCTCGCCTAGTGCGACATGTGCTTTCAGATCCCACTGGCGCATCTTCATGCAACGTCCAACGCCACAGAATATACTGCTGTTGATCCCACTGGGCAGATCAATCTACGGACAACATATCTTGATGGGACACCAGCTGGCGCTACCCCAGAACTCGAGCTTGGCGTCAACACTGACCTCTTTGAGGATCCTTGGAACGAGTCTCAGAACGACACTTCATTCCTTGATACAGAGCCTTACAACATCACAGGTTCAAAAGAAATACAACAGCGGACAGTTGGAGTAAGCTTGGATGTTGAAAATCTAGACTGAGAGCTGACCTTGATTTTTTCAGAAGGATGACCCCATTCGTATTTGGATCTCTGAACGTCAAACTTATCTTGATGAATTCATCCGCTTGGAAGGACGTGGTGACACATGTCACTCGTGCCATAGCTGTGGCAATTCAAATGCAGTATTTCGTTGCGAAGACTGCTTTTCTGTCGCATTATACTGCCAGTCATGTGTTATGAACCTCCACCAGAACATGCCCCTGCATCGGCTGAAGGTATGTTTTTTTTTATGGATATCAGTGCTTTCCACTAACGCCATTGATTCAGAAATGGCATGACGGGTATTTCCATCCAACGACCTTGAAGCAACTGGGGCTCCGCATACAACTGGGTCCACAGCGCTGGTCAGCGCTGCCGCAAACCAAAACCAGCCTTTGACGATGATTTTACCGTCATTGATGTTCACGGAATCCATGAAGTCGCTCTTGACTTCTGTAATTGTGAGTATGCATCCTCACACTACAAACAGATCCTGCGCGCATCGCTGGTTCCCAGCAACATCCACAGACCCACGAACAGCTGCGACATTTACTGTTCTCGAACACTTCCACTTGCTCTCGTTTGAGTCCAAGGTATCTGCATTCGAGTTTTACCACTGCGTTGCACGTCGGAGTGACAACACAGGCGTCAAGCCTATCAAGGTGACTTGTACTCTATACACTGTATCCTGATTGATTTACCTCTGATCATTGAAATTCATAGGATCGATATTCTGTCTTTTTGCGAATGATGGCGGAGTGGCGCAACCTCAAGGCACTAAAACGGGCAGGTCGTGGGCATGACCCAGCTGGAGTTAGCGCTACCAAAGAAGGAGAAATTGTGGTTCTGTGCCCCGCTTGCCCTCACCCTGGTAAAAATGTGCCTGAGACATTAGAGGACGTCTCACCTGGGAACCGGTAAGATTTTACCGTCTCTCCTCCCTATTTTCAGCTGTGATCTGAACACATTCTACAGATGGATCTACTCACTCTTTTTGGCTATAGACGCCAACTTTCGTCTGAAACGCAGACTGGTATCCAGCGATGACAGGGACCCTGGATTGAGCCAGGGGTGGGGTTACTTCGTCAAAGAAAGTAACTACAAGGCGTACCTTCGAGAAAATGCAAGTCTAGCACAAGAGGTGAGTTGAATGATTATTGCTTACAGCCATTGCTGATTTAAATGCCTTAGAAAAGTAATTGTGTTAGCCATAACGCGGTCAATATGGCGGACACGAAATCTTCCAAGGGACTCGCAGCAACGGGTGTCGGCACTGTGGTTTGCGCTAGGCATGACATGCGGTTAGCAAATGGTGTCGGGGATCTTCAGAAAGGGGAAAAGTGAGTACTCATGTCACTGGCAGAACATTATCGGGTTTTGATTTGATTTTGGCAGATACTTGAATATGGATTATATAGTCTTCTCCGCACTTTCACGCTTTTCATCAATCCATCTGTCAATTTCTCCTACAATATCGCATGTCAGTGGCACAAAAAGCTTTGGCATCGTGTGTCGACTGCTCTTCCCTTACGGCTTCATCCCAGTAGCACTCAACAATACAGGTTTTTCATTCCAAAATTCCATCTCGCAGCACACATTGCCGCCTGTCAGACGACTTTTTCATTCAATTGGTCTCCTTACGTTGGACGGACTGATGGAGAAGCGCCGGAGCGCGGTTGGGCTGACATAAACCGTGTTGCTGCAAGCACAAAGGAGATGGCACCTGGTACACGTCGAGATGTCTTAGACGACCATTTTGGGGACTGGAATTGGAAAAAAGTGACAGGTCTTGGTAAGTCTTGAGTTTTAAATGTTATCCAGCGAATTGATTACTTTACAAGGTCGAACACTACTACGTAAAATAACAGATGCTACACATGCTGAACGGGACCATCGCCATGCCTTGGCGGACTTGGAGGGATCCATCAAAGAGTCAGAGTTGGGCGCTGTGTCACTCGTGGCATGGACTGAAGAAGTCGTCGCTTGGGAGAGCGATCATACGAAACCCAACCCCTTCAACAGTCAAAGTCAAGGTAAGTTCAAAATTTTAGAGTGTGATTGATGACTGACTGAAATACCAGAAATGACCCAAGCCGCTGTTCGTTTAGCGCTCATTCAACAAGACGCAAAAGATTTGGAAGAAGGATCGTCAATTTCCCTCCATTCAGAGGTGACACCTAGTATCCTCATTAGCACAGGCTTGGACCTTGAGAATGCGCAGTAAGTGATAGATTGACTGCTATATACTTCCTACTTATTCCTTTGTAGACGACGTTTATGGGTAGATAATGCAGGTCTCACCCAACATTCAACCAACAATCAGCAAACGAAGATTCTGATGCGCAGAAATGCTCTCCAACGCCGCATTGATTCATGGATTGACATACAGGTCCTGTACATGCCCTCCGTCGCTCACTTCCATGCCACTGGTCTCTCTCTGTCTGACGAGGGCACCGTTGATGAAACCACCGGCTGTCCAAAAGCCAAACTCAACTCTATCAAAGCCGAGGATATCCCACTATTTCTTCCATCTTCCATCTGTAATCTGACAACGTGCGACACAAAATTGCTCGAGGTTGAGTGGTCGTTACGCTTGGCGCAGGCTAACGATGCGCTCGAAGGAATGCCGCTCTCACATCCGTCTCCGCCACCAGCTTCTACGCTTCAAGGCACAAACAAATTCGCGGACAAAGTCTTAACACTCGTGCCCAAAAGACCATTTCAAGCGGTTGAGGATCGGCTCATTCTTAGTCATGAGAAGTATCTTGTGCTCGGCGAGCTCTCACTCATCTGTCAAGGCAACTAGGCCATGTAGGCTGGGAGCACAATTGCAGCCATTGAGGAGTCTGACCTTCGGCAATGGGGGGACCTGGAGGTCGCAATCAAGGCACAGCGATCATGTCATGGATTTGGCATGTACACGGAATTCCTTCGGACAACGGTGACAGGTTTCAGGATTGTAGGTCATCAGTGATATTCTATTTTTATCGCTTACCGCCGTCTAGCGCTACGCATTGAGTGGTGCAAAACGAGGGCCAGACGCAACCGGTGGTTTGAAGAAATCCAATGCTTTGGAGGAGATGCGGCGCGTCTTGGAGTTTCTCGATTGGCAGGCTAAGTGGTGGGAAGCACGGGTCACACTGCGTGTGGCTGAGCAGTCTGAGGACAACGAGGGCTTGGTGGCGTACGCAAAACGCCAGGCTGCCATCCGTCGATCCCTGTCTGCAAAATTCAGGGCATCGTGGCACCATGTGACCGCTTTGGTAAGCGAAAATCTGGACGATACAGAGAGGCTAATGCACCGGCAGAAGAAGGTCCTTCTATTGATGCACCCCCGCATGGAGATCTCGATGACTTAGACTAATTAGCAC